TCTATGATTATATACAAATAATATGCTTGATTAGTAATATTTTAGGTGAAAGAATATTAGCAACAAAAAACACTGACCAGGCCAGTCACCATCCTGTGTAGTGAATCCAAATCAAAACCAATTTGAGAAAGATCACCACGAACATCATTAACCTGTTCCAAAATTTCAGCAATTTGGTTATAATATGCTTGATAGTAATTCGAATATAAATTCATTTTCCCATTTTATTTAACACATCAATCACAATCTAGATCCTTCACTAATATGTTCATGTTACGAATAACATGATTTAATTCATTTAAACCGAAATCCATCATGTGAATGGAAAATAAGAATTACTTCGTGACTTTACCTCAGTCCGAATTTGTTTTGATATCTCAATTTGGTCATCCAGTTTCCCGTCTACATTCTCAATTCTCTGCGTCAAATGCCTCTTTGTTGCCTAAACAAAGGACCACATAGGTAAATTATGTAAGCAACACATGAGTTTCTGAACTTGAGGACAAATATACATAAACATGATAGGTTGTTATGTACACAAGATATAAGCACATATTTGCAAGGTGTAGTCTATATCTATTCATTAAAATATATAAGTAATACATGAAATGCATTAGGGTGCAGATCATCCATCTAAATCCCAAAAGACATGTCCATAGAAAAGTTGCAATAGTTTAAGCATCAAATATCTTGTTGCTTATGTAGTTTATTTAGACTAAAAACCCACATAGACATGAATTGGTTGTAACTTTAGAATTTCCACTAACTAAAGCTTGGCAACTAAAATAAAGAGTGCTAAAAGTGTTGTAAAAACCAGTCTAGGCGGCAGCCTAGGAGCCAACTAGGTGCTACGCGGCTCTAGGCCGAAGGGAATAATGGGAAAATAGGCTTGTAGGCCAACTAGGGGGGCATTATTTTTTATTAATTTTGTTTGTTTCGTTTGTACTCCGTATTTGTTATGGTTAGAGTATTATGTGCTTGGGACAAACACCTGTTGAAGTCTAAAAAAACAGGATGCCATATGCAAAATAAATAAATAAATAAAAAACAAACAAACAAACAACCAACAAAAATGCCCAATGGGTGCCTAGCGGTTTTTACAATTGGTGCTAATTGATGAAAATTATAATTAGACAATAGATATTCAGTGAACACCCAATATGTATATGAACTTTTGACTTTTAAATATATATAATTACTACACTACTTTTGGACATACTTGTAGGAGTGTTTTATTTGATTAAGTGGGCATGTGTTGATAGTGGTAAGAGAACAACTTTAGGACATAAATGATACTCATCAACCTGACTGCCTTATTTGTCAACTGCTAATCTGCTATTAAGTTTAAAGATGATTAAATGCTATCAAGATGGTCAGAATACAAAGATCACAACATGTGTATAGCACCATGAAAAATAAGAGAGAGAACATAGTTCGCAAGAAGTTCAGATACTCACAGCTAAGGCATCAGAAACATGCTCCAGATGCTTTGTTAAGTTTTCAACAGCAGTTGCCATACTACGCTTTGTTACATACATAAGGTCAGAGAATGAGATACCCTGAAAACAAAAGAATCATGAAATTAGAATGCAAGTCAGGGGCAGGAAAACGGGCAGTTGAGGCTTAAAGGTATAATATGCACATGAGAACTAAGCATTTTAAAGTTTAAATAGAGAGCTTGAAGAATTCACCTTCCACCACATGTATCCATAGCCCAAGGCCCCTACAGCAGCAGCAGGAACCACCAGATTTGTTATGTTACCTAACAGAGAGTGCAATAGAAATAGAGTTAGATCAAACATGAATTTTAAAAAATCGTAACAGAACATATCTCAGGCTTTCATCACTGCACTGTTAAGTCTATTTAGCTTTCACTTTATCAATTAATCTTGTATAAGCAAAAATACCATTAGAACCCCCATTGAGAACAGTGATTGAGCGTGCGGAGGCCAGTGATCGAACCTCCATAGCTAACCGTCGAACCTACAAAACAATAACGTTAAATATAGGAAGGCAAGAATCATACAGTTAGAAATACAATATCATGTTAAATATAGGAAGGCAAGAATCATACACTTAGAAATACAATATCATGTACAACCATGATGTTAAAAATGCACTGAATCAACAACATTTGCAATAATCAGGTTAACATCACATGTGGACTACCATTTACCTACATGTTATACATCATCTAAAAGGCTTAATACTGAAAATATTTATTCTGAGAAGAACAGTAGGAGGGGATGGTCAACAATAACAAAATTACCTCCCGGGTAGGAAACCAGAGAATACTTCACCGTTCACACTACTAAACTAATACAGAGTGCATAACAATTAATGTTCACTCACTGCATAGGCCAAATTCGTTAAAGATAACATATCACTACAGAATGATGTGCTCTTCAAAATTTCCAAATACACAAAAGAAAAGGCTTAGTATAGATACGGGGTTGAATTCCTTTGCCCAAACTCCCCAATAAAAGTAAAAAATTACTTATCATAAGCCTCATCAGTCATCATGCAAGTCAAAAACACATATTTCTGCATGGAAATGTATAGAACAAGTAAAATAACATTTAAATGCTGCTTTTATTGTATATTATTACCTGCGCAGCAAGTACCGCATCAGTTTCTCCACCATCTTCCACAGATTTTTCATAATTTTTCACCAAATTCTGCAGGGGTGGAAACATAGGTTCAAGCTTAAAATCCATCACTTAATACAGAGCTGATACATAAAAGTGATCCAATTAATTAATCCATTCAAAAGTACTATTACTACTATATATCCATTCATTCACAATCACATATTTTCCCCAAGACATATAGCAAAAAGTGATGTTGTTAATTAAGATTGTGACACTCATAAAAATCAATAAGATTATGCTTACATAACGTAGCTCAAGCGACTATATTACTTCAATATCTCCAACCAACCAATACACTGCAGTCTGGTCAGAGATGCAGAACTACACATCCTATCCTATTCACATTAAAAAGCTAAAAGTTACTCTAAATAGATGCAGTAGTACCATCATATTTTGTATAGTCGGAACCCTAATAACCTCAAACCAGTCATGTGATTCTTGTTTAAATACACAATTAGCTATAATTTATTGCTGGAAAAGCTTAGTGCTCAAATCCTTTGATATACTCGTTTGATCGGAGCTTTTATCTTTAGAATTTCTATTGTAGCTCAAACTACTGGAATCAAAATAACATGAAGCTAACTAATCAAAAAGCAGATTCAATCACGGTAGAAAGGGCAAAAAATTTTAAGGACCTGAAGTTCTCCCAGCACATTCGACAATTTACCGTTATTCAGAAGCACGGTAGTAGTGTACCCTAACACATAAATACAAATTCGTATGATTAGATCAGATCAATCCGCCAAAGATGCAACCAAAAATTAAATAAATAAAACAAAATACACTTATACCTGCTCCCAGTAAGAAGACTATCTTAGATAAGCCCATCCCAGCTTGCATCGCCATGGCCGCCGCGTCAGTGATCAGCTAAACGTAGCCTCCGCCTTTGACAGGAAAATTGGGAGAGACGGTTTGCAGTTGGAAGAGGTAGGGAGGGTGGGAGAGGATTATGCCGTGTCTACGGCTCGGGGCTGATGAAAAACGACGCCGTTAAGTATATACATATGTAATTGGGGTTGTGCATGCGGTTACCTTTAGTCCAAGGTCTTTGCTGATGGGCCAGTTGTGTATTAATAGGCTTTGGCCTTTGCGCTTTGGGGCTAGTGGGCTATGGATAATGGACTTGCTAACTATTCAATAAGTCAAATGGAGGGAACCCTATGGACTAGGCTTGTATTGCTTTGTGAATTCTAATTTAAAAATTATATTGGTTAACATGTTATGTGTATGCAACAGGTATATAAATGGATGGTTTTGTCGGGAGCTAGGAATCTAACCCTACATTGGATATCTTAAGAGGAATTAAGCATACCTTATATAATGTAGAAGGTCTTCTGGATGGTTGACAAATGTACGGCATCGACTAGTCTTCTTATTGGCTACACATGTATCCCCCGATCACTTTGCTTCTAGCGCACTTCTCATGCAAAACTAGAGCTTCCTGCCCTCTAATATATAAGATAAGTAGTGGCCTGGGTGGGTTGGGGTGTGTGTTGCTTTGTGTATGTCATGGGTTCAATAGGCAAATTATGCTGTGAGCACGGATCCATATCCATAATTTCTATACTGTAGATTCATAGTATTTTTGAAATAAACATGATTCTTTACAAGGTAGTATTGGTTCGAACCTATGACCACCCATTTGGAATTATAACCGGGATGCCATCACACTACATGATAGTTGGCCCCTGGTTCATTGATCAGGGGTTCACCTTGGATTATTGTCCAAAAATTATGTGTCTGCATTAATATATTATGTTTTCTTCGATTAATAAATTTTATGTCTATAAATAAATTAAAAATAATATATTAACTGCTATAACTATTATGTAATTACTATATTATGTGCTAGTAGTTAACATATATATTATGTGTCTTTAATTTATTTATAGACACGTAATTTGTCAATTGAAAACATATACGGAGTAATATTTTAGCTATTAACACATAATTTGAATGCTACTTTGAATCATGGTCTACAATGCAAATTGGACCAACAGCTTCTCGTGACTAGAGAACGAGGGAAAACTTGCAAGCAAATCAACAATTTTATTTTACTCATGAAATATGTGACACAATCTAACCTCTAAATAACTTCGTCCAATCTCACCCTTTCACGCCTCCAACAAATTCAACAAACAACTCTAAGGCAATACTACAAGTCCCCACATTATACATGAATCTTGCAAACCAAGTACCAAAATAATTTGATTATTATATTTCTATATATACATATAAGTTGTGGTAGGTCGCTACAAGTTCACATGTAATTAATTTTATATGCATGATAGATGTATATATATTATCTGACATTATCAATGCGCCAATGAGTGAAAAGTAATCTCAAAATACAAAACAAGAAGTACAATATAATTAAATTGAGTACCAAAGGTAGAAATTTCAAAGAAATACAAGAAACGGTCAAACACTACAAGACAACTAGACAAGAAGTCAATTCCCGAACCACCATCCTTGCTAGCTGGCCGGAAGCATTAATGGTTAGCCTAGCTAGGCCAGCCAGCAAGGATTTTATCTGGTGCGCTCTTGACTTCTCTACCACATCATCGTTGTTAACTCGATCTCGATCCCACCTGTCTTGCTAGCAAAAGTTTTCATCCATTCACAAAAACAACAATAATTGATGACGAGAGAATAATGTTACTCTTTTTGCACTCTCGATAACATTTTTATGCAAAATTAACTTAAGTTTATTGATGTCCTCAAACTAGTGAAATTTTAAGGTACGAGGACATGGATAAATTCAAGTCAATTTTGCGGAAAAATATTATAGGGTCGGGCCAGGCCGGGCCGAGTGAGAGTAACATTATAGTAGGGCCAGCCTACACTATTACCTAATTAACCCTAAAGAACTACTTGTCTCTTATCATTTATTTACCCAGCAATATGGTTCATGCACATGCAGAGGGGCAATTACTACTCCTATCTACCAACAATACTTTTGTTGTTTTGACAAGTCTACCCTCCAAGATTTTCACAAATTACTCAGAACCTCTCTCGATCGATTTCAAGAGAGAGGTTTTGGGTAATTAGGAACTGCGGTGGTTCTCGTCGTCGGTTTCCTTAACCGGCGGCGGAGACGGCGGCGCTGGGAACGGCTGGGCGGTGGTGGTGGCGGCTGTGTCGTCCAGGCCGCTAAGGGCGGCGTTGATTTGCTGCACGGTGTTGCAGAGGTGGTGGTTGATGGCGGTGACACTGGAGAGGTTGAGCTTCGCCGTCGGCATGGTGCTGGCCAACACCTGCAGCGCCACGGTGAGGAGGCAGCCGGATTCCGGCAGGCATCCACTTTCAGATGACTGGACCGCCGTGGCGGTGGCGGCGGCAGCCATGGGTGTTATGACGAAGCCTAACGGCAGAAGCGGCACGCTGGAGGGGTCGTCGCCGCTCATGGCGAGCTGGATGGCGTCGACGTCCATGGTGGCGTACACCACCAGGCTGCCGGAATCATCCGCGCAGCTCTCCTGCAACATCAGCTCTACACTCTGGGAAGAGTTGCTAGCTACCTGTGATATATAATTCAATTATTAATTGCTCTGATACCAAATTAAAAAATTTAAGTTTAGTTGGACTATCCAATCCAATTTATATATATTATATATTCAACAATATAATATAATTAATGGTTGAAAGTACATCTGCAAACCATTAATATAACTTACATTAATGCGAAGGAGAGAGATACAGTTTCCAGGGTGAGAACCGTTGGCAATGTGAGCCACCTCGTGCAATGAATTCCCATTAGAAAGAGCATCCAACTGTTCAACAAAATAAATTAATTAATTAATTAATCTCTAGGCCTCCAATAAAGAATCACCGCTAGAAATTATGAAATTTCCGACCACTTAAAATGATCTTAAATCAAATCGAAAGTCTTGGAAAAACCTTTATTGCTATTTCCGACCACTTTTTATTTCAGGTAATCAAAAATTCCATAATTTTTGATGTTCTGTTCTTAAATAGAAGAATCAAACTTGTAACCTGAGCTCGATGGCGTTCGTCTCTGAGGAGATCGAAGACTTGGAAGTGGTGATAGGGAAGCCAGGTGGTGGAGACGGCACTGAGAATGAGGCCGGCGGGCTGGCCGGGCTCGGTGACTTTCCTGGTGGTGATTCGGACAGTATCCTCGGCGGAATCCGACAGGGATGTCCAGGATTGTCCCATGGATGTGCTTATGTTCACACAGAATATTTTGATCATCCTCTGAGCCAAATTCATCATGTTTTTCCTTGCTTCCGGAGATGGTATCACTGAAAACAATAATGTTAATTAGTTGGATATATATATAAGATCCATATATGGAGAATATATATATATATATATATATGTATATATATATTACCTCCCAGGTCTGATAAATTTCGTGCCATAAGACTAGCAACCCTCTCGCATTGGCGCTGTAACACCGCCAGCCACCGCCGCGCCCCGAATGCCTCGCCGCTCGCCACTAAATTGCTGAAGATTTGGTTCACTGGGTTTTCCTCAACCTCAGCATGTTCTATCCATGTAACCTGCAAGACCAAAATTATGATCATTCATTTTTTTTTGGTTCACAGTGACTAATTCCCTTGCTGAATTGTAGTCACTTCTTTTCGCTGTGACAGCTGGCCTGATGCTCTGATCGAACTATGATCATTCATATTAGAGATTGCTGGTTGTCACATAAGATTTTATGTAGATAAAAATAGGTGGAAATTACCCTAGAGTACCCATTGGGCATGTCTTGGATGATGCAACCAGAAGGTCTTCTCTTGAAGTGGGGGAAACAAGAAGATGATGGGAAGTTAATCTGGAGACTATCATGGGGAAAATCAACAATGGCCCAAGTCCCTTCTTCTGGGTTTTGCTGGCAATAACGCAGGAAATAGCACTCTCTGGTTGGCAGCAATGGGGTAAGAGCTTGCAATTCAGCATACATCTGAAAGGTCATCAATTATTCAACCCGAATTCAAGACGAAACGTTATAAGTTAATAAATACAGTACAGTTTCCTTCTAAAGTTGTTATTGTGACGTGACACTGATTAGTTTCGTACCAAGTGAAGTGAGCCACTAGCGTGCCCAGGAACCCCGGGCATAACAACTTGAATGGTTTTTGCTCTTGCAACAATGGAAGGGAATAGCTCCATCCATTTGCCCTGAGAATTGCATTAGAACAAGACATTAATTAATAATTGAAACAAAATAATATGTTACAATATCATATCATATATGTAAATATATTTAGAAATATAATTAATTAGTGATTTACTGCGTCCAGGAATGCATCAACTAGGGTGATGCTGTTCATTATAACAACAGCATTAGCTCTGGTGGCTTCCGCTCTGATATCACTTGATAGCGGCGGCTTGTTAGGCCACTGGAACAGCCGCGAGTACTCGTCCCCGTTGATCATTTCTCTCCCGTTGTTCCGGCAAACCCAGAGCGGCTCGCCGGCGCGGCACATCTTTACCAGCTCATCCATACTAGAAATTGCCAAATCCATCGCCAGTGGCTTCTCCTCTTCTCCAACGAAAGGGCCGCCGCCGCCTGCAAATTGCGGGTTTTCTGCCATGAACGGAACGGGAACCATATCCTCACAACTGCCCATATTCTCCTCAAATTTTCTCGGGAACCCGCCGGCGGTATCCATGTCCAAGGGCGCCGCCGGGAGGAGCGGCGATGGCCCCATTGGCTGGACTGCACGCCCCGTGTATTGCGAGAAGATACAACACATTCTCTCATACTGTTAACACACAAACAATTTTATCATCAATAATGATTATAGCCTATGGTCAGTTTTTTTTTTTTTTTTGAGTCAATCAGTTATATGTAACATATTTTTGTGACTAATTACAAGGTCAGATTTTCTAGTGCACATATATTTATGGATGAGTTCAACTATGGGACTCGGATTACCTCTTCTTTGAGACGGGCATTTTCCATTCGGAGTTGTTGTTCATCGAAGCTCAGGTCGGCCAAGATGCCCGGACCGCCACAGTTGGTGCATAGGATGTTGCGTAACGCCGCTTGCAGCCGGTAATTTTCCGTCTTTAAGCTATCGTTTTCAGCTCTGAGCACAACATTATCCGACCTGTCTTGTTGCGCCTATGAACAAATCATTTCATAAACAACGTTAATAAGATCGAGAGCTAAACACATAAATAATATGAATTGAACTCGTGGGTTAGTTAATAATAATTACAAGCAAAATACTAACGTTATTGTGTCATGTTATACTGGTACAAATATGTAAATGTAGTAAATGGTATGCGGTACTGTTGACGTTGGTATCAACAGTACCTACCACATACTACACTTACATTATTGTATAGTACCAAGTACGTGGTACTGAATTTAGCTCACTGGTTCAGTATGCAGTATTTGAACGATGTTCAGATCGGGATTATGTTCAAGTGGGCAGATCTCTTATAGTGTCATTAACACTATTGGTTAGGGCTTTGCAAATTTGGGTTTTTGATGCACCGGTATGCAATAAAAACCTACCCCCTGCATTGGGAACCGTGCATTTGGGGCCTTTTCATGAGTTTTAACCAGCTGGCCTATCGAACATTAAATTTAGGGTTTTACTGCGAAAACGAAAGTTCACATTGGAGAAGACGAGAGGCTGGTAGGGGGTGAGGGGGGTGGTATGCTAAAATGCGCACCTTCATCTGAGTGCGCCGGTTCTGGAACCAAAACTTAACCTGCCGAGGTTTCAGTCCGAGGTCTTGGCTGAGTTTCAGCCTCTGCTTGTCGTCTGGATGCGGGCATTCCTTGAATAAACTGCATAATATATATAAATAATTGTCAGATTATTCGATCAAATTCGCTAAAAATTGAATGTTTTTGGAGGAGGTTTAGTGCATATATATATACGTTTCCATTTCTTGGATCTGATGCGCGGTGTGACGGTGGTAGCGTTTCTTCTTGTTCGCCGGCGGCTGCTCCTCCGCCGCCGGCCGCCGCTGATCGGTTTCCTGTTCATTGCCGGAAAGCCCTTCAATGTGCTCGCTGCCTGAACCACTCTCCACTCCCTCTTTTCCCTTCATTAATAACCCACCTTCCTCCTTCTAAACCAAAAAAAAAAACCATTAATATACTAGAAAGAACTCTAACATGATTATTACAAGACTTCCATTTTATTTATTTTTTTGAACTGATCAGTTATGGGCGAATTAAATGCCCTAGCTAGATCATAATGTGCGGTTTCCCAGTACACAAATCCGGTAATAGATGAGAATTTCCATCATTACTTAAATTTTATTTTTTATTTTTAAAAAAAGCATGAAAGTAGAAGCTAAGGGCTAAGCTTACTGGAATGATGGGAGGGAAGATGGTGAAAGGCATGTTGATGTTGGACATGAAGCCGAAATTAGGGTTCTGCCCCAGCTGCGGCGGCGCAAAGAACGAGTCCGGCGGCGGGACGCCATTTCCGGCCATGGACGACAGCACTTGGCAATCCCCATACATTTTTAAACAATTTCCAAAAAATAAAAACAAAAAATTCGGACTAGGGTTTGGTCTCTATGTATGTACTGATCTCTTTCCTCACCTGAAAAATCACAAACATAAATAAATAAACATCAAACAAAACACAAATGTAGAGAGAGAAAAAAAAACAGACCATTCAAGCTATGGCGGAAGCAGAAGATCTAGCCATGGAGTGAAGTAGAAGATATGAGGGTTTTTTAAAAGGAAAAAATTATTATTATATATTTTTTTGAAAAAAAAAATACATTTTTTTAGAACAAAGATCTATTAATGTCTTCCCAGTCCCAAAAGCAACATTAACTTGATCGAATCCTTAAAAAAAAAACATTTTCAAAAGCCGAATAAATATGAAAATTAAATGAAATGAAATTACTGCAAGCAATTAATGAAATGCAATAAAGAGAGTTATATTTAGAGAGAGAAAAAGAGAGATACCGGCGTCGGTACGGTAATCGGAGTTTTTTCCGTCACGGCCTTTCTCCCTCGTCTCCGGCAGCTTTGCTCCGCCGTCTTCTCCGCCTGCCTCTCCGATCCTCTCTGCGAATCCTAACGCTCTGCGGAGGCTTTTGTAGTAAAAAAAAATAACGTGAGAGTTAGCGATTACGCTCTTACAGTAGGGGGGGAGGGGGGAGACTGTTTTGATACACGTGGCGTAATCATAACGGACGATACGTCGTTCGATTGGTCGATCCATACCCAAAGTCAAACCTTTTTCTTTTTCCATTTCTTTTTTAATTTTAATTTTTCTGACTATAAGTTTCTTCTAAAAAAAAAAAAAAAAAGTTGAAACGCTTTTCCCGAGATTTGTACCCGCGCGTGGCGTTACCTTCCTCGGATAATCTTTATTTTATTATTTATTTTTATAATTGTGGGGTCAACTTTAATTAAGCTTTAATTAAGTCAAAGAGTCAGCATTAGTGTCAGGATTGACTAAATTTATCCACAAATTATGTCAAAGTCAACACAAATCTAGTGAAGACTTCGTAATCTGATGGACTTACATTTTTGTGTTAAAAAAATACTAATTATACTTTTATAGATTATATGTGTGATTTAACGGTATTGATTTAGGGAAAGGACTGAACCATTAAGTCAAAGTAGACGGAATTTAGGGAATAGTTCATAATATGATGGGGGCCTACATTTTTGTGTTAAAAATACTATTTATAATCTTATAGAGTATATATGTACTTTAACTGCATTGATTTGGTGAAAAGAGCAAACCATTTAGGTCAAAGTCGATGGAATTAATTAGTAAATAGTCATAATCTGGTGGGGGCTTACATTTTTGTGTTAAAAAATACTAATTATAATCGATCTTATAGAGTATGTATTTGCTTTAACCGCATTGATTTGGAGAAAAGAGTGAACCACTTAGGTAAAAAGTCGATGAAATTTAGTGAATAGTTCATAATCTGATGGGGCCTACATTTTTGTATTAAAAAAATACTAATTATACTCATATAGATTATATATGTGATTTAACTGCATTGATTTGGAGAAAAGACGGAACCACTTAGCTCAAAGTCGACGAGATTTAGGGAAGAGTACATTATCTGATGGGGGCCTACATTTTTGTGTTAAATACTAATTGTACTTTAACGAGTATACATCGCGTGATTTGTATGGATTAGGTGAAAATGGTAAATTGTTATTATATTTATGCACATATTAGGTCAAAGTCGAAGAAATCTAGTAAAGAATTCCTAGTCAAATGGGTCCACATTTTTGTATTAGGGAAAAATAGTAATGACACTTTTGTAAGTATATTATCGTGTTACATAATTGCATTGATGAGAAAATGAAGAAAAAAGATGGTTATTTATACATGTATTAGGTTAAAAGTCAAAGTAATCTAGCGGAGAGTTCGTAGTCTAATGAGCACACACATTTGGATTAAGGAAAATATTATTGTGCTAAGTAATTGTACTGATTAAGAAAATAGAGGAAAAAAAATGTCCCTTATTTATATGCGTGTATTAGGCAAAAGTCAAAGTAATCTATTCAAGAGTTTGTAATAGAATGGGTTCACATTTCTATATTAAAGAAAATATTAATTGTATTTTGGTAAGTATATATATTATCATGTCACGTAATTGTATTGGTCAAGAAAATGGAGATAAAAGTGGGGTGGCCCTTTTTTTATGCATAAATTAAGTCAAAGTCGAAGTAATCAAGTAAAAAGTTTGTAATCTAATAGGCTCACATTCTATATTAAAGAAAATATTAATTGTACTTTCGTAAGTATATTATCATGTTACGTAATCGTATTGGTTAAGAAAAATGAAGAAACAAGTGGGACATCCAATTTTTTATGCATGAATTAGGTCAAAGTCGAAGCAATCAAGCAAAAAGTTTGTAATCTAATGGGCCCAACCATTTTTTATTAAAGAAAATATTAGTTGTATTTTCGTAAGTATATCATCACGTTAAGTAATTGTATTAATCGGGAAAAAATGACTAAAAAGATAGTTGTCCGTTATTTATGCACATATTAGGTCGAAGTCAAAGCCGTAATCCAATGAAGAGTTGGTAATATAATGTACCTCATTTTTGTATTAGTAAATATAATTGTACTTTTGTAAGTATATTATCATGTTACGTAACTCTTTTACTTAGAGAAAATTGAAAAAATAGTGGATTGCCCCTTACTTATTATGCACCAATTAAGTTAAAGTCAAAGAAATATTAGTAAAGAATTCATAATATGATAGGCCCACAATTTTGTTATAAGAAAATTACTAATTGCATGTAATTTTGTAAGTATACTATCACGTTAAGTAATTGTATTAATCAAGAATAATGGAGAAAAAAAGTGGATCACTCCTTATTTGTGTGTGTATTATGTTGAAGTCGAAGAAATTTAGTATGTACAATTTTTTTTTTTTAATTTGATTGGTCCACAATTTTGTATTAATTAAGAAAAATACTATTTGTATCTTTGTATTTATATTATGGTGTTAACTAACCATATCTGGAGCAGCCCTGGCTAATTGGTAAGAGCGTTGGAACGCCGATTTTTCAAGAATCAATAAATTATAACTTTATATTTGAGCACTCAAATATAACGTTTGGCGAACTATAACAAAGATGGTTTTTTTTTTTTTTTTTAACAATATGAATACCTTATATTTTTACAACAAATGATGACCAACAAAATTTAGAGAAGTAGACATTCTCACCTTATAATATTCTTTTGGAACCCGTAATGAACATAATTATAAAATTTATATTATGAAAGATAAACTGTATTAATTCTAGGTACCACTTTTATAGTCTTATGGTGTTATTATGGTACATAAGATTTATATTATGAGCAAGAAAGTTTACTCAGCTCTGATCTCTATTGAGTCTCATTCACGATCTAGGACAATTAGCACCAATTCTGAGTGTATAAATTAAACATACTCGAAATGACAAATCAATATGAATTGAATCCATAATTTATCACATGAAATTAATTCAGTCAAATTTAATTATTTTTTTTTTAAAATAATTTGATGACAAAAAGTTAATGGTTAAACCCTAACCCCCTAATGCTACTTAATTACTAATCTAGTAATCAATTGAGCATCAATGAAGAAAAATGTTATTCATAATTCTCCTCAGTTAAAACTACAACATAATATTTACTATCTGACGTGACATTAAATAAAAAAAAAAGGAAATTTTTTATTCGATTTACCTCTTTTTGTATTTTGTTAAAAGTTAAAAGATTTATTTGACTTAAATTTAAAATATAAAATAAAAAAATTGATGCGACAGGAGAAATTGTGGCGCGTAAAAAGCATCGGAGCTTCGGAAGGGTCTAATCCAGAGCATGTGGGCCCACGCGTAAAAAATGCACCCTTTCTTGTCCCCACGGGCAGAGCTGGGGTCCACGTCCCGGTCCGTGCATGGCGGATGAATGTTGACGATGATAAATGATTAGAGAGGACGTCAAAAATGCCAATTTATTACTCTCTGCACTCATTTACGTTTTTTCCCAAACTGCCCAAAGCCCAAAACACTCCCATTGACCATTGTGTCTAGTTGGGTTCATTTTTCTTTTTTAATTCCATATCGATTAAAAAAAAAATATATATATATTTTGATAACTCAAATTACCCAACTTCTTCGTATTATATCTTGACCTTATAAATCCATTCAAGATCCATAATGAGGTAAATTTTAAGCCCACACAAATTTAGTTTACTGGTTCAATAGACAGTATTTGAGAGAAGAGAATATGGGGATTATGCCTAAAGTGAGCAGATTCCTTGTGCGCATCGACATTTGGCCCTAACTGCTGAGTCACAATCATTATTGTATGGACCATGGTCCACACAAGTTGTGTAGACCATATTTTGTCTACTATAAAATAATGTACATTCAGTACAAAAATAATGTATATTGTATACAGGGGATATACATTATTTTTGTTCTGAGTGTACATTATATTGTATAATGTATATTCAATACAAAAATAATGTACATTTAGTATATTAGAAATGTACTTTTTGTTATGGTCCACATAACATTATGTGGACCATGGTCCATACAATAATTTGCCGCTGAGTCATTGAGTCACTGTAATTTACATCTTCTTAAATGCTCTGTCAAATCGGAATGTGAAGGGCCCCTTAGAATTGGGGATTCAACCTTTCGAGAGAAGGTAAATTCCGGCAAATTATGTTGTGGAATCGTGTCCACCTTACAAGGTGGACACGATTCTAAAACTGTTCATAATTATGAATATATAATTCAAAAATTATGAACATATAGTTCTATAATTATGAACATAGAGTTGTGAACATAATTATGAATATATAGTTTTGTAATTATGAATATAGAGATTCAATAATTGTGAATATGAAGTTCAAAAATTATGATTATATAGCTTTATAATTATGAACATAGAGTTCTGTAATTGTGAATATAGAGTTCAATAATTATGAATATGAAGTTCAAAAATTATGAATATATAGCTTTATAATTATGAACATATAATTCAATAATTATGAACATATAATTCAGTAATTATGAACATAGAACCGTGTCCATCTTGCAAGGTTGACACCGTTCCACAACATAATGATTGGTGATTTACATTCTCCCAACTGCTCTGTCGAGCAGGAATGTAGGGGACCCTTAGAGTTGAGGATTCAACTTTTTGGGAGAAGGTAAATTCCAAATTGTTTAAGTAATAATCATTTTTTGAAGATTTTATAAAGAGATTGGATAGAGTTTGTTAACTATTAAGCATGTATGCTGAGAGGTGAATATGTGTTACAATTGGGGTTGCAAAATTTGAATGAGCAATCAAAAGGGTTACAATTGTTTATGACGGTTGATTTAGTAAGAGATTACAATTGTTCTCTATGATTGATTTGGTAAGAGCTTACAATTGTTTCTAATAGTTGATTAAGTAAGAAGTTATAATTATTTTTGACAATTGATGTAGTTTTTTTTTTTTAATGCTACTAACTCTATTAGATTGTAGTATCTGTTCATATACTTTCTCAACTTACTGAAACACAAAGAGCCAATAACGTCTCCGTTGAGGCTCGAACTTACAACCTTCCAAATGGAAGTCCAACCTGGATACCATTAGACCACATAGTCCTAGTAACAATTGATGTAGTTAAAATCGTTTAAATTAACTTTTCTTTATCGATGTTTTACAATTATAATGTGTTTTATTTCCTTGGTCTTACAAAGGAAATTGAATATTCAATAATTAGAGGTTGACACCAAACAATGTTTTCCAATTTAGTTTGAATCGGTTTCTTTTGACTGACTTTTTGTTTTCTTTGGTCTCAGTGTCTCACTAGTTTAGAAATTTTAGTCTATTCTAAACAAGAATAAAATTAAAAACGTATAATATAGTAATGATTGCCATAGTAGAATTTGCCCCACTAACAAATGTTGACAAAACAAAAGGAGACATGACTATGAACGACAATTACCAACATTGTTTTGAATGACGAAACCCGGAACGTTATGCGGTTCTACCATGTGGTGTACACGATTCCAATTCATAATTTATATATTATAGATTGATACAATCATGAGGTTGTATGGGTTGCTCTTCTTCGAGTCAAGAGCCAAACTCCATAGTTGTGCTTCGAGTGACAGCCGAACTCCCATTGACTATACTTCAAGTGATAATCTAACTCCCAAAATGTCTCCAGACATTTATACATACATTCTTCATTGATCTTCTCCAAATACACATGTAGCTATATATATATATATATACAGGATCATAGAAACTATCCACTACCCCTGTAGCCCACTACTTATATAACTACCCACTATTCCACTATAAACTAAATCACTAATAATAATAATAATAATAATAATAATAATAATAATAATAATAACTCCAGCAACACCATGGGTGTATCATAATTTCTATACTGTAGATTCACAAAATCTATACTGTAGATTCATAATTTCTAAACTGTAGATTCATAATTTAAACACAGTAGATTCATAATTTTTGTACTGTAGATTCATAATTTCTAAATTGTATAATTATCAAATTATGAACATATAATTCTGTGATTTGTGACAGAGTTCAACAATTGAGAATATGAACATCGAAAATTATGAACATAGAGCTATGTAATTGTGAATATAGAGTTCAATAATTATGAATGTGAAGTTCAATAATTATGAATGTGAAGTTTAAAAATTATGAATATATAACTTTATAATTATGAACATATAATTCAATAATTATGAAGCACAACATAATTTGCCCGAAAACCCATAGTAAATCATACTAGAAAGATCATACTTAACAGGCATGATCAAATAAATATAGACAAGAATTAAACTCATGACTTTTAAATATTAGAATTGATCCATTTATCTTACCACACCTTTTAATGGGTGTTTGATTGGAAGGAAGGAATTAGGAAGGAAATGAATTGTAATTCGGTAGGAAAAGAATACGGTAGGAATTCAAATTACATTGTATGGTATGTAAGAATAGAATTATTGGGGATGAGAATGAAAAAGTTGTATAAAGACTAAAATGTCCTTGTGTAATAATAATAACAATCAACAAGGGTATTTTTGTCATTTCTTACACTTTTTCCTTTCCCTAAGTGCTTATTTAATTTGGGTGTAATTGAATTGCAATTCTGTGGAAGCCCCAATTACGCCGTTTGGTTGGAGAGAATTGCAACTCCCTCCAAATGTTGAATTGCAATTCCTGAGGTACACCTATGATTTGCAATTCAATGGATTTGAGAAAGGAAAAAGATATGAAATGACACTACTACCGTTGATTATTATTACTATTATTATTATATAATGTTATTTTTTTCTTTATACCACTTTTTTTCATTCTCAATTCCAATAATTCTATTTCTCACTGTCAAACAATGTAATTTGAATTCCTACTTTATTCACACCTTATTCTTTTCCCACCGAAGTACAATCCATTTCCCGTCTAATTCATTCCTTCTAACCAAACGCCCCGTAAAACATTGAATTGCAATTCCCTCCAACCAAACACTGTAATTGAAGCCTTAATTAAATTACAATTAAATTACAACTAAATTACATCCCACCAAACACCCCAGAGCATGAACACCCTTTTAAAGTACCCCATTGTGTTTTCAAAAAAAAAAAAAACAAAAAAACAAAAAAAAAACAAAAAAAATCCATTGTGGATTTTCTTTAAATTCCATAATAAAATTGATATAAATATTTATTTTAATTTTTTTTAATATTCATTCAAATTATACTAATACTGCCACACCAAATGAACAGATACTACAATGTAATACTGCCACTATTCAAACATATCATTTTATCTTATTGGTAATATAATTTTTAAGTTTTTTTAATTCATATTAATGCTTTGAATATCATTATATTATGATCAATTGTCTTGAGTTTTAATTTTTATAATTTTAAAATATTTATTCTCATTATAAAATTATACATAACTAAACATTAATATTGATAATTATTCGAATCTCACCCTATTACTAATCATGCAAAATACTTCCACAATTTCGCCAAAACTCATTCCAATTATCAAGTAATTGATCCCCATGTTCCACACCATAAATTTTGTTTGAGTTATAGTGTTTGAGTAAGTCCATTGATCCAATATCATCAACTCATTAAACTATTATTTTAATATGATATGCATATAAAAGATTAAATTTTGGTATTTTGCTGTTTCATTACAGTCAGAAATTTATACTCTATTGTCACCAACTCACCACCGTCCACCGCCCACCGCCACCGTCCTCTTGGCCGGAATTTGGAGGATTATATAAATTGAGAGGGGAAAACACGAAGAAGAGAAGAGATGAGCTTTCAGGATCTAGAACCGGGTCGGCCGGCCGGGCCGCGGCGGGGATACGTCAGTGTCAAACAGGACCCGCTCCAGGCTCAGATTTTCCAGATCAACACTGCCGTCTCCAGATTCCAAATGCTCATCAATTCCCTGGGGACGGCTAAGGACACCACAGAGCTACGCGATAGATTGTTAGTTCTCTCATAATTCAGCTTTTTTCGTATGATCATTTTTTTTTTTTTTTTTTTTTTTTTTGGCATAGGGATCTTATTCAGGTGTTTCATGCTCAATTTGTGTGGTTTTGAATCTAATCTTTCTAGTGATTGTGTCTGCGGAGCCTGGGAAACATGTTTCATGATTCTTATGAGAAAGTTAGAGTGTAGGATCGTTTACTCACCTAACCGGAGAAATAGAAAATTGGTAAAAGGAAAACATTTAATTGTACGTTTCTCCAATTAGAAAACTCGAAAACAGAGAATAACAATGAAATTTTGGAGAATTGAAGCAAATGCAATCTCATCGTGGTGATTTGTGCTTTTAGTGATAATGTTTTTTGACTTTTTTTGCTCAAGTGCAGGCACAAGACAAGAGTGGAGATTGGACAGTTGGTGAAAGATACGGCTTCCAAGTTAAAGCAAGCAAGTGAATCAGATCATGGTGCCGGAATCAGTGTAAGAGCTTTCTCGTATTCAATGTTCCTGTTCTTCCTATGCAATCATTGCCATTGCGAAATTAAGCGTTGCAGAGTTGCATTTTATGTTACACGTTAACGTGTTATTCACTGGTTCAACCATTGCATGAATTTGGAGAGGTTGCTTGTAATGCATATAATCTGAAAGGGCTAGAGGAGAATTGTCGAAAACGTGGTTCCAAAAGTTCCAACGAAAAACTTTTTATTCTGTGATTAGTTGGAGAGTTGTATTGTTTTCTAGGATTCTCCTTTCTCTTTTCCTTGTCATTTTTCCTTAGTTTGGATTCAAATTGTATCATTTCCTTTTTTGGGGGTGCTTTCAGGCTAGCAAGAAAATTGCAGATGCCAAACTTGCTAAAGATTTTCAAGCTGTTTTGAACGTGTTTCAAAAGGCACAGAGGCTTTCCGCAGAGAAGGAAACAGCGTATAAACCTGTTGTTGTTCCTCAAACTGTTGTTTCTTCCAGGTAATGCTTTTGGCACAGGTGGTTCTTTCCAATGAAGATGAATTTGAATGTCATTTCTTCCACCATGTGCTAATTAAATATTTTGAGCTTTCTTTTGCTGCTTATCTCTGACTTTGATTGTATTCTGATGAACAGTTACACGTCTACTGAGACAGATGCTAGTGCAGATCGGAGTACTGAGCAGCAAGCTCTCCTCATGGAATCTAAGAGGTTAGTTCAAGAATCCAAATTCCTCTCTTGTTATGCATTAGTGCTTTCCATGTTAAAATGAATTCATATATAGCTATCTATTAGAAAATATGAATGATAAAGCATAATTTACTCCAATTTTCAAGTCAGCATAAAGTATTACCTATTATGTTTCATTTAGAAATTAGAATCGGAGTAGAATAGAGTATCGCCCTGCTTGCAGGCTCATCAAATTCAATTATTGTCAGTTTCAATGCATTCAATCTCGGAGTTTTTAATTTTCTCCCGATCCATGTGCCTTTACTCTAGACAAGAGGTAGTGCTTTTGGACAATGAGATTTCCTTTAACGAGGCTATCATAGAGGAGAGAGATCAAGGGATACAAGAAATACAGCATCAGATTGGTGAAGTAAGCGAAATTTTCAAGGATCTTGCTGTACTAGTTCACGATCAAGGAGCCATGATCGGTAAATCTCTTTTGTTTTTCATTGTTTGGATCGGTAAATCTCTTCCATTTTTCATTGTTTGGATGTGCATGACGAGCTGCGTTTTACTGACTATGGTGTAATTGTACTTTCAGTCGATATTGATACAAATATTGAGAACTCTCACGCTGCAACTGCCCAAGCAAAATCCCAACTTTCCAAAGCTGCAAAATCACAACGATCAAATTCCTCCCTGGTAGGCTTCGTTTAGTTCTAACGTCTAAATTAATTTGTTGTCCATAACAACATGCCATCATGGAGTATTAGAAGAATTGTAAGTTGTAATCTTCATTTTTGTAGATAAAGACACTCTGATTGATCTGCAGTTGCCATTATATCCATTGATTTTGGTTTTGTGCTTATTATATATATATACCCCGAACCTCCTTTCTTCAGATGTGCCTACTCCTGGTGATATTCGCTGTTGTCCTCATCATCGTGATCATAGTACTTGCAGCATGAACACTCGGCCACGAGACGTTGAATAAAAACCTTGGAACTCTGCTCAGCAATGGAGGCAGAATGCAGTTTTGGCAATTTTGGAAACCTGATACTAGTTTGTTCATTTTTGGAGTTGCTGTTCATTTGTAAATTCTTTGGTTTGTGATTCCATGTGTTCTTTTTGCCACGTGGCAATGTCTGTCAATAAAATGTAGATTTCTTTTATCTACACTTGACTAATTGAGTATGAGATTTGATTTGTTCATTTCTTTGTCACTCTTTGTTTTTTTATGTTGGTTGAAAACAAGGCAAATAGACACCAGCAAGAATCTTACACAGCCTATCATGCTTTGCATTACAGGTAAGAACTAGAGATAGAGATAGATAGAGGGAGAGAGAGAGAGAGAGAGAGAATGAATGCACAAACTATATCTTCATCCTTTAAAAAACACAAATCTTTTGATTTATAAAAAAAAGTCTACAATTACTATTTGAAAATGCATTCCAACCAATATAAGTATTTGACTAATTAGCTTTTTGTAACCATTTATTGCTTTTTCGATCAGGTTTTTGAGAAAACCATATTGTATATAATCAACTATCAGCTAACAGGTTTTCAAAAAAAGAAAAAAAAAACTATCAACTAACAGCTAATTTACCAAACATCTTTCTACAATCAGCTAATGCTATCAACTAGTCAAACCCACTAACCCAATCAGTTATAAGCTATTTACTGAGCACACCCATTATCCATCCATGGGGAGTTGGTTCAAGAAAGATTTAAATCATGGGCCTGCATTATTACAAGATAACAAGTGCACTTGGAAAAGGGAAGAAAAAGAAAATGATATAGGGGAGACATATATCACACTCATTTTGAGACCTTGAATGTGTACCTCTACATTTCCTTTTCTGGATGGTCAAGAGAAAGTATACATGCTGGTTCTATTTTTGTCTGAAAAACAAAACACAGAAATATATCACAGTTGTAGCCATCAACTAGTTATATTTGCTTACCTCATAGCTCAAAAGAATTGAGTTCATTGAAGCAATTAAACAAACCAAAAACCGACAAAACTTTAAATCTGATTAACAACTCCAATTATGTTGGGATGCCATTTATCACAGTTGAAATTCAGGGATTTAAAGGCTCAGCTAAGTAGCGGGCGGCGAATATCCACTACCCGCCGAGTGCAACCCCAACCAAGTTAGTCATGGTGTTGACTTCGTAACCACAAGTTTCCAAGTTTGACTCCCAATGAGACTGTGGGAGCGGCCAATTGACCTTCTTGGTTTGAGCCGATCAGCTATGGACAATCTAGGCTGGTTTACTTCCTTGTGGTTCTTTGCCAACTAAGATCACAAGACGAAGTTTACCCAGCATACACCCTCGGGTAATAGTTGCAGGTTTCCCTTGTCACCCAAAAAAAAATAAAAAAAAAAGCCACCACTACCCGTAAAGTTCGAAAAGTTTAGTATATCAAAACCAAAAGAGATGTATGATGATGGTGATGCTGATATTGTGTTATATACATAATATACGTGCATATATAGGAATATAATGGGTCTAACTAATACGCTGTGTTACAACTAGGGCTATGCTAGAGTTTCCATTTTCTATATTTCAACAATCACAAAATTCAATTCTATCACTTTCCTGGGTGGCCATTGGAGAAGTCTAACTGTTACATCTAACAGAATGAGCTTTCTTTCCACAATGAGATAATCGGTTAACATAAAGCTTTCAAGTATATTATACATACAAAATCCATAACTAGATACTGACCTCTTAACATCTTTATGCTGATGTATCCGTTCACGTAACAGAATGCACTGTTCATTTGATCAACAAGTCAGTGTAGCTGTGGAATAGCAATACCACTTCTTGAAGCATCAAATAGTCATCTGAAAAGTGAAACCATGACGTAAGAGATAGAATACCCCACAATCCACATACAAAAAGGAAAACCACAACTACAATCGCTTTACTTTACTACAACAAAATTATAAGCACGTAATAAAGTAAAGATGTAAAATAAAAGAGTTAATACCATATAGGGTCCTCCGAGTATAGTGATTTTGCCACGTTTAGTCCTAAACTTTCAAATTGTTACCATCTGTAGTCCAAGTTAACTATCTATGGTCCTTCAACTTTTAAAAATTAACCAGTCGCGGTCCTCTTGGAACTTGGAAGGACCATGGGTGGTTAAAATTTTATAGTTGAAGGACCATGGGTGGTTAAAATTTGACAGTTGAAGGACCATGTGTGGTTAACTTGTACCATGGATGGTACAATTTGAAAGTCGAAGGACCATAGATGGTGAATTTGAAAGTGTAGGACTAAACGTGACAAAACCACTATACTCGAAGGACTCTAGATGGTATTAACTCTAAAATATTACCAGTTCGATGCCTTGATCTTCAACAGGCAAGGGTATTAATGCTTTTGTGGCTAGTACACAAAGCACCTTCCTTTCAACTGAACTTAGTAGCAAATGCTACATATCATCGTTGAACTAGCTTCCTCCAATTTTTCGCCTTTCATCTTTGAATAAGTCGCTTGAAACAATGCCTTCCTTCTTCATTTGGTCAAACAGCTCATTAGCCCTACCCACTTGTCCAAGTCTGAAGTATGCACGTATCAGAATCGTATAAGTAACCTTATCCGGACACACATTCTGCCTTCTCATCTCATCTAGCAACCAGTTGGCCATATCGATACGATTGACCTTGCAAAACCCATCTATTAGACAAGTATACGTAACACCAGAAGGCAAGATTTCTCTTCTTTTCATGTCTTCAAACAATCCCAATGCTTTGTTCATATCTCCAACTCTACAAAATCCGGCTATAATAGATGTGTAAGAGATATTGTCATGATTCAATCCCTCAAAGCCCATTTCCCTAAAAAGTTTATAGGCTTCGTTCACCTTGCCCATCGTGCATAACATATTAATGATAATGGTATACATGGTTCTGTCCGGTGTAACCCCAACTTTTAGCGTTCTTGTGAACAGCAGAAAGGCCTTCCGGAAGTTTAACTGTTTAGCAAAACCATTAATAAGAGTGCTATAATTTACAACACCGGGTAATATATTCATCTTAAGCATTAACGGTATTACTTCCAGTGCCTTCTCTGAGTTACCTTCTTTGCACAGCCCATTAATTACTGCATTGTATGTATGGAGATTAGGAATAACGCCTTGGCCTCTTGTCTCATCAATGAGATGCAAAGCTTCCATTATATGCCCTTCACTACAGTAACCATTAACAATAGAATTGAGGGTAAAGATATTGGGGGTCAAGTTCTTGATGATCATCTCCTCTAAGAGCTTATGAGCCGAGACCAAATCACCCTGCAAGCAAAGTCCATTTATTAAGATGTGGTATGCACCCCGGTCATGCTTATATCCAAATTCCTCTAACTTATAAAACAAATTAATTGATGTTTCCTTCAGTCCCGATCTGCAAAGACCATCTAAGAGTGAACTATAGCTAATAAGCGATGGTTTTATGCTCCTATCTTCCATCTCCTCTATTAAACAAAGACCTTTCTCAACATTCCCGCATTTGGAAAACCCATCAATCAAAATACTATAGCTGTATACATCTGGTGGAACTCCGCAACTCTTCATTTCTTCGAAAAGATTCATAGCTTCAACTACTTCACCCTTTTCACATAATCCATGAATAACAGCATTATAGCAATAAGCGTTTAGTAGTTGATTTCTATGCCTCAAGTCTCGAATGAAATTCAAAGCACAGCCAACACATCCAGCTCTACATAGTCCATGGATATAAACACTATGTGTTACAACAGATGGGCTAATCCCTCTAGTAATCATTTCCTCCATAATATTGGCCGCTTCTTCTATATCCACCTTATGCGTGCAATAGAAGCTCACCATAATTGTGTATGTATAAACAGTGGGCGATGGTCCAAACTGCTTCATCTCTTCAAACAAAGCTCGAAGAAGCTCCCTCCTGCTCGCTTCTGCCAAGCATTTCAGCAAGAAGTTGCACGAGAAATTACTTAATCTAAGCCCACGTTTCTTAGCATAGAAGTATGCATTGACTCCATTTTCAAGCATTTTATTCGCAGCAAAAACCTTGATAAGAACATCAACCACAAAAGCTGATATTTTTGCATTATTAGGTGAATTGAGCAAATGCGGGAGAAGCTTATCTAATTCAAACCCAGCCTTCTGGAAATAGAAAACAATATCTTTAAGCAAGGCATACATTTCCATACGCATTCCAACATATGCAAAAATATGCACAAGCATCTTAAAGGCGGTGATCGATTCGAAAAGCCCATACCTTTCCATTGCTCTTTCGAAACGAATATCTCTAGCTACCTCCCAGCTCAATGATTTGTACACCCTCAAAACAACAGAACATAGTCCCAGCTCCTTGCACCTATGCAGTCTTTTCCTCGAAATAATCGGAACAATTGGCTCATATTCCCCACTGCTTTCACCATTTGAGCAAGAATCAGAATCATCCAATACTAAAGCGGACGAAACACCACCAAAATTTCGACAATACCCTCTTTCTACAACGATTTTCTTCCTCCCAAAAACACCCAATTCTCGCAACCCCACAAATATGAAATAAAAAGAGGATCTTTTTGGAAATATAGGCAGACCCATAAGCAAAACCTTGAGCTATAGAGAAATTATTGTGATTGCACAACAGAACAGGCCTCCCCATAGCAGCCCACATAACATCATACCCAAATCACTGTTCAATAAGACTGAGGAAAACCCAAAACGTACCAGCACAGATTGGAATGAGCAACATAACAAAAGAATAATCAGAAAATTTATTTAAAAAAAAAAAAAAAAAAAAAGAGCACCGCCACTTCGAGCTGCTCTTCCTTCCCCGGCGGACTGTTAGCTTTCTACCAGCTAGAAGTGGCGGTACTCAGCTATGGAGCTTCAATTGACATCGTTTTTGTGTTCGTATAGAGTGAGATAAGCGGTAAAGGAGAAAAATCCGCGCTTTTAAGAGTTTAGACAAACCTCCATAAATCCCTATTATATTTTCTTTTTCTTTTTTCTTTGTGTGGTTTTTTTTAGTTTAAAAAAAAAAAAATTTATTGCACAATACATATAAATCTAGTTACCCTATATAACATGTTCGATAGAAAAAAATATTGACAAAATAATTAAATTTGTGAGTCGTGCCCTTATGGCATTATAATTATATTATACTCTACTTATTAAATCATCTTTTTTAGAATGATTTTTTGAAGTTATAATGGTAATTTATACTTGATATAATTTAAAAAGTATACACGTGATTGTTACCGTGTTCATCAAACTATCTCGTAAATTATTTTTAAAAAACATAATACAAGTTTGTGAAACATATAAATAACAAAATATAATTTTTAATTGTGATTCTTGTTACCGAGTAAATTATGAAAGATTATACTAGTTTATAAATTTTTTTTTAAAATATAACGACTTAAATAATTATCAAATAAAATTTAATTATAAATTTTGACTTTGTACTATATGCTCATACTCAATGTATATGATACACTTCAATCCCCATTTTTTATAAAATTGAAACAATATAGAGAAAATTAACATAATATCTTCTTAGAATGACAAAAAAATAATAACACAAGTTGCAGAGGTAGACGTATAGTAACAAAATCCATCATTCTATAAGAATAACTAGTCAGTCATGGCAATAAGATTTAAGCCAAAAGAATGACACAAAAATAAAGAAATACATCCATTATTGCCCAAAGGATCATTCTAAGCAAACAAAAATAGGCTATAAAACCAATTTCATAAACCAAAAAAAAAAAAAGAAGGTTGTAACAGCTACAACACTCATCATCATTTTACAACATCCGCCGGAACAGTTGGTATAGAAACTTGAATTTGATCAGATCCTGCAATCAAGAATCTGCTATGAAACATGTAAAGGCAAGAGGTTCTTCACCAGTCAGTCTTCAAAAAAATGAGAGCAAAAAATAGCATTGAAAGCTATCCAACAGTGTGTTGTTTGCAGCCTTTGGGACCAAAATGTTGGGAGCTTCGCCTCACCATCTTTTTGCACAGGTAACAGTAATGGTTTTGGCATGCCCAGCAGAATATGTGATTGTTATTCCCAACCTGTCAATGAAATGGAAAGCTTCTTGTTAATAGAGAGTAACCCCTCTCACTTTGATAAGGGATTAGTGGATTACTTCTACAATGAACAACTGGGGGAATATAATTTCTTGTTTATATTGGCCTTTGAAGATGAGTAATTCGGAAAGGATCGGAGGTGGTTTGGAGTAATGAAAGGCGGCAACTTGGGGTAGTTGGTAGTTAAACGGACTCACAATGCAACAGCAAAGATGGAGGGTCGGCTATGCTTTTGTATGTGTGCAAATGTTAAAGAGCTTTGGTCATACCTTACCCCGAACAAGAGCCAAGCTTTGAGCTATAAGTTAGATGTAACTCGGCTCAAATCTGGAAGCTAAACGGATTTAAAAAAAAAAAAAAAAAAAAAAAGATAGTGAAAAGAAAGATATCCTCACCTTTGCATTTAATTGACCACAATTGGGACAAGAATGGACGTGGTCAGCAAAGAGTTCAGCTTGCATTTGGCCAACCACTTGACGAGGATTAATGCGCTCCTCCCACCTCTGAATTTCCTCTTTTGGGAAAAGTTCGCACATCCCATCCCTTGAAAAAGAGAGAGAGAGAAAAAAAAACACTCATGAATTATGTATTAAGATAACAGTGTGTGGTTATGGTGATCAGATATGTGGAAAAGCTAGTATTTGAAACTAAGAGCACTAGGTCGCTAACCTGAAGTGGTCATATCCATCAATAGCTTTATTACAACGATAGCAGAAATACTGCCCGCAATTGTTGCATACCATTTTGTTGCAGCCTTCAGTCCGGGAGATGGCCATCTTACAAGAAGGGCATTGCTTTGCACAACGGTTGATTTCCTTTACACTAAGAAGTTCATTGATCAATTCCTTCTCACGGTGTCTTTGGTCGCCTTTGAGATGAGATGAATTTTGTCGCTCCTGGTTCAACAAAGCAAAGGTAGAGCAGATCGTTTACAATACATGAAACTGCTCAAATATGCAAGGGTTGGGAACCCAAGTGGCTCAATGCAGCAACAGAGTTGAAAAGTTTGTGAAAGATGAGAAATAGAAGTCAGAATAAAAAATTAAGCTTGGTTGGAAACTTCTTTGTACAAACAGATTAATCGTAGGGAAATTAGAGGGCCAAAGCCATGTAAATCCACAAAGACTACTGCCAAACCTCAAGTGTTCATCAGAAAAAGCAAACAGATGCATTAGTTTTGCTTAGAATCCGCATTTGCTTTCAAGACAAGGACACTCATTTTGGAACTAGAGTACTGAATGGAATAAAATAAAAACATTGAAGAGCAAGAACCATACCTGCAAAATACAAAGTTTCATTTCTGGTGTCATACACTCAACTCCAACATGGCGCTTGTCCCTACAAAGTGTACAGAAGCTGAAGTAGCATTTTGAGCATAGTGCGTGATTGTCTTCATCCTCTATGCATATTGTTTCACATCTAGGGCAATAGCATACATCGGACATTGATTCCAATGTTTTCTGCAACATCAAGCTTTCCCAGTGTTCAAACTCCTCTTCACCAAGTAATCGTTTCAGCAAACCTGGTGGTATCATGCTTCCACATTTTGGACTAGGACACTGAAGCTTAGTTACGGTACCTTCTTTTACATGCATGTTTGAAAACGTTCTCATGCAGTTCAAGCAGAAGAAGTGCTGGCACGGCAGTCTAGCAAAATCAGTCCCTGATAAAAAAAAAAATGTAAAAAAATACAATAATGTGAACAAGATAATAATCAATTGTTATTGAAAAAAGTGACTATTAAAGTATATAAACTTTCAATACTTTCATTTTAAAACAAACAAACAAAAACCTTTAAATGCATGCATTTGCTCTCTGAATGGAGTAGAACATTACCGTGAGAGAATAAAAGGATGACTAGAGAAAATAAAATAATATAAATGAAGAATTGCAGTATTGAACAAATCACATGATGGTGAATTTTAGTATGTTCTTCAAGCAACTTCACAATCATTTCTGGGCAATTCATATGATGGTAAAAAAAGAAGCATAAACTAGAATACAAGTCACAATTGATCATCACTTCTTTTGGGAACAGAAAGAGAAGCGAAATCAGGATTTTCAAATTATGTTTACAGTTTACTGCCATAAGTTAAAGCATAAACAAATGTTTATTTACCAGGAAATTCATCAGCACAGATGCAGCACTCATGGAAGTTTTTACGAAAGTTCTCATGGCACTGTTCGTCATTATATCTTTTCAGCGATGAAATATCAATATCAGGAGAGACACTTCCTGAAATTGCCCGCCTATCTCCAATATCCCTCTCATTAAAAGGGCTCAGCTTTATTTCTTCATCAAATTGAAGATGTGATAGAGAAGAGCTTTGCAACCGTTCTACCCACTGGTATATTACCTCCTGCCCTGATTGTTCATTCCAAATTGAATCGAGCATGTGACAGAGATGGGAAATTTTTGCAGACTTCAACCATTGTACAGAGATGGTGAATTGAGGAGGGAGATGACTAGGATATGATTTAGGTAATAAACATGTCAGTATGATTGGTGGCAGATGCTCAACTTTGAAGGAGTACAGAAACTCAGGTGAATCATCATTCTGGGTCTCAAGTGCAGATGTTTTTAGATTCACAGAGACTGTAAGCTCCTTAGGAACTTCTATGTGTATATGGATCTGCAAGTAATAAAAGAACATTGGTGAACTTAGCTTTTGAAGGCGGAGGGGAGAGAGAGAGAGAGAGAGAGAGAGAGAGAGAGAGAGATTATTAAAGATGCTACAAAACCTGTAAAGTTCGTAAGTCATTCTGTCTGTCTAGAACGAAAATGTCGTCACCATAAATGGATTCCAGAACTAGTAACTGCAAAGAACAATGGAATGTCACAAAAGCCATCTGGGAGAAGATAGCAAAAGAATGGAACAAGAACATATAAAGAATTAAAGATTAGATCTAGTCCACATGGCACCTGCTCATGCATGGTTTAGGAGAAAAATAAACATAGCCTAATCAATATTTTTAAAAGAGGTTGTTTACAATTTAACTTATAGAAAGAAAGGATTTATTGGACCATTTTAAGTTCCCCATTTACTTGGCCACAAAAGGGATCTCAAGTTTAATCAGTACTCTCTTCTTTTAAATCCAAGTGTAACATACCAAGATCTGATTAGTCGGTTAGCCAGTTTTGAATTTAATCCTAATATCACAGCCACCTATACAACATAGAAATAAGGATCATTGGGAAATAACCAATTCCACTACCCCCTATTATTCCAAACTTCAGTTACCACCATGTACTTTACAATATGGCACTTTCAATCATATGAATGTCCACCAACCCTATCGTCACATCATTAGTCTCTATTTCCGACTTAAATTTCTAAGGAATTATATAGCCAATTTGAAATGAACATAATAAATCACTATTTCATCACACTTTTTTTCCCACCCAATTCAAATTTCAATAAAGTCGATCTTCAAAAGTTACATTTAATCATACTTATTGCCATTTATCATAAGAGCAGTTAAGATGGCCACCGATCATGATAAAAAGTATAGAATTACTCCACAGTTTGTACAGTCGGTTTCCCTTTATTACTCCCTGCCTCCAAAATGCATGTTCTTAAAGAAACTGGTGAACATGAAGGCACTAACAAATTCCCTTCACTACAAATGAGTTTGGAGTGGAAGTTGGTCAGTTGTTGACTTGGTAACCACAATTCCACAAGTATACAAGTTCAACTGTCGGGAGCGGCCTATTGGCCTTTTTAGTTTGAACCAGTCAGTTATGGGCAATCTAAACTAGTTTACCTCTAGGGTCACAACTCACAAGATTGAGTTTACTGGTGTACTCTCAGATAGTGGCTGCGAGTTTCCTCGTCACCCAAATGGTTTTGGAGTTGTTTGCAGTATTGTTTATTGTTGCAAATTAGTGAATGTTGGACGAATATTCCCAGTAGAAATCAAACAGGGGAGCTCTTACAGTTTCCCAGTATCCATTGTTCTTTGGTTTTCCAGTTTGAACAAAATTTAGCACCATGATATTAATGTAAAACACTAAAAACATACAGGGAAAGAAAAAAAAAAGTAATACTTGGATTTTCTTTAATATTGAAGCTAATAACTGACAGATTGAATTTTACCTCGTCCTCTTGGGCTTGATCATTAACCCTAAGCTGCTCTTCAGACAACTCAGCCTCTTCAACGCCCAATCGCAACTCTTCCAGTCTTCTCCCTACATCATCAAACCCCTCAACTCCCACCCCAACGCCGCCATTCCCTTCCTTTTCCTTCGTTCCCGACGTCCCTTCCCCGCAATCACTCGGAACTCCTACTTCAATCCCACCTCCACCCTCAACTCCAGGATGATCTTCTTCGCCTCCGCATTTAGTCAAACACGCCGCCGGCGCCGGAACTTTCTGCACGAACTGGTGTTTGATCCCCCGGCCACGCCGGTTCCTGGAATTCCGACGATTCTTCTGGCTAGATTGATCTTTTGGCACAACTTCCGGATGGTTTAGCTGAGAATTAGCCGGATAAGATGATCCAGAGCTCTCTGGTTGAGGGGTTAACGGATTCCGGATTGGATCATCTTCGGGTTTAACAACAATCCGATTGCCATCGTCTCTCTTCTTCTGATAATTATCCTGTCGTCTTCTGTTCGACATGGCTGACAGCTTAAACTGCAATTGATTGAGAAATTCCAAGCTGCAGAACCATTAGGTATATCTTTCAACCGGTAAGTCGGTTATAATAATAAAGAACAAGTTCTAAAATTAGCCATTGTCGTATTAGGATGTTTAATCATATTTGAGTTAAAGTTATGATTCTCTATCCTAGTCTTTGTCTAACTCTTTTATTATATTCAGAAATAGAATAGGAATTATACTATATCTAGAAATAGAATAAGAATTGTATTTTATTATTTGGTTCGCAGAAAGAATAGACCCTAAAATATATTTTAAAAGACATAAATACCATTATAAAAAGGAATAATGTTCAAATTGGCTACGAAAAAAAAAATTAGACCACTGAACACTTCAAATGTATGCAATTTTATCAAGGTTACCATCAATTTTAACATGTTACCTGCTTATGGGGTAGCTAAGTTGACATTTTTAATAATTTTTAAATAATTTTTAATAAATTTTAATAATTAATTTTAATATAAATTTAAAAAAAAATGAAATAAATAAATAAATAAATAAAAATAAAAACGACAGGGTGACCGACGTCGTTTTTTTTTTTTTTTTTTTTTTATAGTTTTTTTAATTATTATTAAAATTATTTAAAAATTATTAAAAATACTAACTTATTATTAAAATTATTTAAAAATACTAACTTAGCTGACACGTTAGTAGGTAACCTGCTAAAATTGATAGTAACCTGCTATCAGGTAAAATTGCACATTTTTGGAGTGTTCAGTGGCTTAATTGCATTTTTTTTTTCGTTCAGTGGACTAATTGCATTTTCAGGTTATGTTCAGTGGCCAATTTGAACCTTATTCCATATAAAAATATATGGCGGTAGTGCTGGTGGTGTTGGTGGGGGTAGCGACGGCGATGGTGACTGGTGGTGGCGGTGGTGAATAGGAAATAAATTTAATTGGGATGTAAAATAGGAAATAAGAACCTTATTCCATATAAAAATATATGGCGGTAGTGCTGGTGGTGTTGGTGGGGGTAGCGACGGCGATGGTGACTGGTGGTGGCGGTGGTGAATAGGAAATAAATTTAATTGGGATGTAAAATAGGAAATAACAAGTTTATCATATTATTGAGAATTTAGGAATAGCCTAATAAACGCACCACACACCAGTACCTAATACACTACCGAAATATACATGATGCATTAAAAAAATATCACTACATTTTTTTCTTTTGATTGATTTTCAATCACGTGGTGGTGTACCACAAAACATTATATAATGCACTATATACCACTTATAAACCACCACCCACCAGCACTTAGTGCACCACCAAAACATACATGGTTCACAAAATTACCACCGCGTTTTTGGTGATTGGTGCAGATTACTCAACTTGGTCAGTTCAGTCACTATGTTTGGTTTACCCCTTCATAAATTTTGTCAGGCCAGAGTAGGCGATTCCACCTTTGTTGTAACAAGGGAGTAAGGTTTCCTCTTTACTTACATATATATACTAAGCCTAAACGACGTCGTATAACTTACATATACATAAACCCTATATACACATCAGATATTCGGATGGGTTGGGTGAGTATTTAAACCCCCCCCCCCCCACCCACCCCTAGTATCATGACCCGCCTTCAATATGTTAACGGGTCGGATTCGGCCTCAAGGATTCGCCCGTTTACCGGGTTTCGGATAAGGCAATTTTGTCGGGTTTCTCAGATTATGCACAGCCCTAAAGCTAGCTATCCATCATTAACTGTGTCGTTCACATCTGCCTTTGGGACGGAAATGTTGGGAGCGTATCTTCACCATCATTCTGCACAGGAAACAGTGATGGGTTTTGCATGCACCGCAGAATATGTGATTGTTATCCCCAACCTGTCAATGAAATGGGAAGGCATCTTTGTTGTTAATAGAAGAGAGTAACCTCTCTGAGTTTGAGTTTGACAAAGGGATTGATTAGCAGAGGATTAGCTCTGCCTCTGGCTCTTGTATGGGGATAACTAAATGGGTTTAAATGAAAAAAGACATGTGAAAAGAAAGATACCCTCACCTTTACGTTTATTTCACCACATTTGGGACAAGGATGGGCCGAATGGCGGCGGACAGCAAAGGGTTCACGATGGTCATCGTCCAATTCATCTCTTGAAAAAGTAGTTATGAACATATACTACATTGTAATAGAGTCAATAGTATTCAAAAAAAAAGAAAAGAATATCACTAACCGCCAATGAATAGCGTTACTACAATCGTAGCAGAAAAGCTGCCCGCAATTGGTGCAGGTCACTTGGTAGCAGCCTTCAGTGCGGGTGATTGCCATCTTACAAGAAGGGCATTGCTTTGCAGAACGGTTGATTTCGTCTAAACTAAGAAGTTCATTGATCAATTCAAGGTCACTGTATGTTTTGTCGTCTTCAAATTGAGATGAAGAATTTTGTTGCTCCTGGTCCTGGTTCTCAACAAAGCGAAGGTAGAGCAGATCATTTACAACGAACGAACACATGAAACTGCCCAAATATGTGTGCAAAATGTTAAAGAGCTTCGGTTATACCTTATAACCCGAATAAGAGCCAAGCTTTGAGCTTAAGTTAGATGTAACTCGGGTCAAATCTGATAGCTAAATGGATATTAAAAAAAGACATGAAAAGAAAGATATCCTCACATTTATATGACCACAACTGAGACATTGCATTTGGCCAACCACTTGACAAGCACTAATGCGCTCCTCACAACTCTGAATTTCCTCTTGCGGGAAAAGTTCACACGGCCCATCCCTTGAAAAAGAGGGAAAAAAAACTAATGAATTATGTATTAAGATAACACCGCGGGGTTCTAGTGATCAGATATGTGGAAAAGCTAGTATTTGAAACTAAGAGCACTATATCTCTACTAACCTGCAGTCGCAGCCATAATACCCATCAATAGCTTTATTACAACCATAGCAGAAATACTGCCCGCAATTGTTGCATAACATTTTGTTGCAGCCTTCAGTCCGGGAGATAGCCATCATACAATAAGGGCATTGCTTTGCAGAATGGTGAATTTCCGTTACACTAAGAAGTTCATCGATCAATTCACGCTCACGGTATCTTTGGTTGTCACTGAGTTGAGATGAATATTGTCGCTCCTGGTTCAACAAAGCAACGGTAGAGCAGATCATTTACAAAACATGAAACTGTCCAAATATGCAAGGGTTGGGAACCCAAGTGGCTCTTCTTTTTTTTTCGTTAGGTCCATTGCAGACAGAGTTGAAAAGTTTGTGAAAGATGAGAAATAGAAGTCGAGAATCATAATTTAAGCTCTGTGAAAAAGCAACCACCATTGCTTAGAATCTGCATTTGCTTTCAAGACAAGGACACTCATTTTGGAACTAGAGTACTGAATGAAATAAAATTTAAAACAATGAAGAGCAAGAACCATACCTGCAAAATACGAAGTTGCATTTCTGGTGTCAAACACTCAACTCCAACATGGCGCTTGTTCCTACAAAGTGTACAGAAGCTGAAGTAGCATTTTGCGCATAGTGCGTGATTGTCTTCATCCTCTATGCATATTGTTTCACATCTAGGGCAATAGTGTACACCGGACATTGATTCCAATGTTTTCTGCAACATCAAGCTTTCCCAGTGTTCAAACTCCTCTTCACCAAGTAATCGTCTCAGCAAACCTGGTGGTATCATGCCTCCACATTTTGGACTAGGACACTGAAGCTTAGTTAGGGTACCTTCTTTTAAATGCATGTTCGAAAAAGTTCTCATGCAGTTAAAGCAGAAGAAGTGCTGACACGGCAGTCTAGCAAAATAAGTCCCTGATTAAAAAAAATATACACTAATGTAAACAAGATAATAATCAATTGTCTATTGGATAAGTGACTATTAAAGTATATAAACTTTCAATACTTTCATTTTAAAACAAACAAACAAAAACCTTTAAATGCATGCATTTGTTCTCTGAATGGAGTAGAACTTTACCATGAGAGAATAAAAGGATGACTAGAGAAAATAAAATAATATATATGAAGAATTGCAGTATTTGTGACTTTTAGTATGTTCCTCAAGCAACTTCACAATCATTTTTGGGCAATTCATATGATGGTAAAAAAGAAGCATAAACTAGAAGACGAGTCACAATTGATCATCACTTCTTTTAGGAACAGAAAGCAAAGCGAAATCAGATTTTTAAATTATGTTTACAGTTTACTGCCGTAAGTTTAAGCATAAACAAATGTTTATTTACCAGGAAATTCACCAGCGCAGATGCAGCACTCATGGAAGTTTTTACGAAAGTTCTCATGGCACTGTTCGTCATTATATCTTTTCAGCGAGGAAATATCAATATCAGGAGAGACACTTCTTGAAATTGCCCGCCTATCTCCAATATCCCTCTCATTATAAGGGCTCAGCTTTATTTCTTCATCAAATTGAAGATGTGAAAGAGAAGAGCTTTGCAACCATTCTACCCACTGGTATATTACCTCCTGCCCTGATTGTTCATTCCAATTTGAATCGAGCATGTGACAGAGATGGGAAATTTTTGCAGACTTCAACCATTGTACAGAGATGGTGAATTGAGGAGGGAGATGACTAGGATATGATTTAGGTAATAAACATGTCAGTATGATTGGTGGCAGATGCTCAACTTTGAAGCAGTGCAGAAACTCAGGTGAATCATCATTCTGGGTCTCAAGTGCAGATGTTTTTAGATTTACAGAGACTGTAAGCTCCTTAGGAACTTTTATGTGTATATGGATCTGCAAGTAGTAAAAGAACATTGGTGAACTTGGCTTTTGAGGGAGGTCAAACTTCTGGTCCGTGCGTAGCAATCTGGATCTATAGCCTTCTTCATTGTCATCACCATCACCCACAAAGTCCTCCCATCCACCCTTGAATGCTAGTACGAACCTAGACGAAAAGAAGTCTCTGGAGCCGCACAACATGACAGTGTAGGAGAGCATGGTCCAAGGTTTCATCCTCTTCATTGCAACAAGGGCATGTGGACTCAATATTAATTCCTCTCTCTTTAAGTTTGATTGCAGAGCAGCATAAGAAGATTTTGAGTCGAGAGGCACTTTCAGATTCCATAATCTGTTCCAGTTGATGAGAGGATTTTGAAGAGGTTGATAATCACCTTAGCTTGCATGAAACGGTAACCAGACTTAGCTTGGTAGTATAAAATTCCCATGGATCTCCTGCCCAATATCAATCACCACCGTAATCCCTTGAAAAAGAGAAGAAAAAAAAAATTCATGAATTATGCAATTAAGATAACACCTTAGTGATCAGATATGTGGAGAAGCTAGTATTTGAAACTAAGAGCACTATATCACTAACCCCCAATTCGAGCCTCCGTGGAGGCGATATTGGCTCTTTGTGCTTCATTTGATTGAGAAAGTAATTATGAACAAATACTACATTGTAATAGAGTCAATAGTATCCAGAAAAAAAAAATATCACTAACCCCCAAGGAATAGCGTTACTACAATTGTAGCAGAAAAGCTCCCCGCAATTGGTGCAGATCACTTGGTGGCAGCCTTCAGTGCGGGTGATTGCCATCTTACAAGAAGGGCATTGCTTTGCAGAACGCTTGATTTCATCTAAACTAAGAAGTTCATTGATCACTTCAATGTCACTGTATGTTTTGTCGTCTTCGAAATGAGATGAATAATTTTGTTGCTCCTGGTCCTGGTTCAACAAAGCGAAGGTAGAGCAAATCATTTACAACGAACACATGAAACTGCCCAAATATGCAACGCTTGGAAACCCAAGAGGCGAAGGCGCGAAGCTCCTTTTTTTGCTAGGCTCATTGCAGATTTGCAGCCACAGTATGTGTGCAAAATGTTAAAGAGCTTCGGTTATAACTTATAACCCGAATAACAGCCAAGCTTTGAGCTTAACTTAGATGTAACTCGGGTCAAATCTGATAGCTAAACGGATATTAAAAAAAGACATGAAAAGAAAGATATCCTCACCTTTATTTGACCACAACTGAGACAAGTAGGGCTACTGTCATCAGAGAGTTCATCTTGCATTTGGCAAACCACTTGACGAGCATTCTCCTCACAACTCTGAATTTCCTCTTGCGGGAAAACTTCGCACTGCCCATCACTTGAAAAAGAGGGGAAAAAAAAAAAACTCATGAATTATGTAGTAAGATAACACTGTGGGGTTCTGGTGATCAGATATGTGGAAAAGCTAGTATTTGAAACTAAGAGCACTATATCACTACTAACCTGCAGTCGCAGCCATAATAACCATCAATAGCTTTATTACAACCATAGCAGAAATACTGCCCGCAATTGTTGCATACCATTTTATTGCAGCCTTCAGTCCGGGAGATAGCCATCATACAAGAAGGGCATTGCTTTGCAGAACGGTGAATTTCCGTTACACTAAGAAGTTCATTGATCAATTCACGCTCATGGTATTTTTGGTCGTCACTGAGTTGAGATGAATATTGTCGCTCCTGGTTCAACAAAGCAACGGTAGAGCAGATCATTTACAAAACATGAAACTGCCCAAATATGCAAGGGTTGGGAACCTAAGTGGCTCTTTTATTTTTTTCTTTTTTTTTCGTTAGGTTCATTGCAGACAGAGTTGAAAAGTTTGTGAAAGATGAGAAATAGAAGTCGAGAATCATAATTTAAGCTCTGTGAAAAAGCAACCACCATTGCTTAGAATCTGCATTTGCTTTCAAGACAAGGACACTCATTTTGGAACTAGAGAAATGAATGAAATAAAATTAAAACATTGAAGAGCAAGAACCATACCTGCAAAATACGAAGTTGCATTTCTGGTGTCATACACTCAACTCCAACATGGCGCTTGTCCCTACAAAGTGTACAGAAGCTGAAGTAGCATTTTGCGCATAGTGCGTCGTGATTGTCTTCATCCGCTATGCATATTGTTTCACATCTAGGGCAATAGCATACATCGGACATTGATTCCAATGCTTTCTGCAACATCAAGCTTTCCCAGTGTTCAAACTCCTCTTCACCAAGTAATCGTCTCAGCAAACCTGGTGGTATCATGCCTTCACATTTTGGACTAGGACACTGAAGCTTAGTTAGGGTACCTTCTTTTAAATGCATGTTTGAAAAAGTACTCATGCAGTTAAAGCAGAAGAAGTGCTGACACGGCAGTCTAGCAAAATCAATCCCTGATTAAAAAAATACAATAATGTAAACAAGATAATAATCAATTGCTATTGGATAAGTGACTATTAAAGTATATAAACTTTCAATACTTTCATTTTAAAACAAACAAACAAAAACCTTTAAATGCATGCATTTGTTCTCTGAATGGAGTAGAACTTTATACCATGAGAGAATAAAAGGATGACTAGAGAAAATAAAATAATATATATGAAGAATTGCAGTATTTGTGACTTCTAGTATGTTCCTCAAGCAACTTCACAATCATTTTTGGGCAATTCATATGATGGTAAAAAAGAAGCATAAACTAGAAGACGAGTCACAATTGATCATCACTTCTTTTAGGAACAGAAAGCAAAGCGAAATCAGATTTTTAATTATGTTTACAGTTTACTGCTGAAAGTTTAAGCATAAACAAATGTTTATATACCAGGAAATTCACCAGCACAGATGCAGCACTCATGGAAGTTTTTACGAAAGTTCTCATGGCACTGTTCGTCATTATATCTTTTCAGCGAGGAAATATCAATATCAGGAGAGACACTTCTTGAAATTGCCCGCCTATCTCCAATATCCCTCTCATTATAAGGGCTCAGCTTTATTTCTTCATCAAATTGAACATGTGAAAGAGAAGAGCTTTCCAACCATTCTACCCACTGGTATATTACCTCCTGCCCTGATTGTTCATTCCAAATTGAATCGAGCATGTGACAGAGATGGGAAATTTTTGCAGACTTCAACCATTGTACAGAGATGGTGAATTGAGGAGAGAGATGACTAGGATATGATTTAGGTAATAAACATGTCAGTATGATTGGTGGCAGATGCTCAACTTTGAAGGAGTGCAGAAACTCAGGTGAATCATCATTCTGGGTCTCAAGTGCAGATGTTTTTAGATTTACAGAGACTGTAAGCTCCTTAGGAACTTCTATGTGTATATGGATCTGCAAGTAATAAAAGAACATTGGCGAACTTGGCTTTTGAGAGGAGAGAGAGAGAGATTATTAAAGATGCTACAAAACCTGTAAAGTTCGTAGGTCATTCTGTCTGTCTAGAATGAAAATGTCGTCACCATAAATGGATTCCAGTACTAGTAACTGCAACGAACAATGGAATGTCACTCCACAAAAATCCACACAAAATCCATCTGGGAGAAGATAGCAAAAGAATGGAAGAAGAACATATAAAGGTTGGATCTAGTCCACATGGCACCTGCTCATGCAAGTTTAGGAGAAAAATGCAAATAACCTTATCAATATCTTTAAAAGAGGTTGTTTACAGTTTAAATTATATAGAAAGAAAGGATTTATTTGGACCATTTAAAGCTCCCCATTTATTTGGCTACAAAAGGGATGTCAAGTTTAATCAGTACTCTCTTCGTTTAAATCCAAGTGTAACATACCAAGATCTGATTAGTTGGTTAGCCAGTTTTGAATTTAATCCTAACATTTATATGAATGGATCATCTAGACCTCACGTATAAAGCAAGTCTACAAATGCATCAGAGGTGCTGCGGCCATAGAAAAACATAGAGCTCCAAGCATACACTAGATGAAGGAATTCTACTGGAGGATACCCCATTTAAATACCCTATGCCATTGATCATAAGAGCAGTTAAGATGGCCACTGACCATGGTAAAAAGTATAGCATGACTCCACAGTCTGTACAGTCAGTGTCCCTATTTATTACTCCCTGCCTCCAATATACATGTTCTTAAAGTACCTGGTGAACATGAGGGCACTAACAAATTCCCTTCAATTCAAATGAGTTTGGAGTGAGATAACCTCAGCCAAGTTGGTCAGACTGTTGACTTCGTAACCACAAGGTTACAAGTTCAACTCCCAATGAGAGCGGCTTAATGGTCTTCTTGGTTTGAGTCGATCAGCTTAAGCAACCTAGGCTAGTTTACCTTCTTGTGGTCCTTGCAGGCGGGCTGGGGTTAGCCAGTGCACACCTAGACCTCGGGTTTCCCTCGTCACCCAAATGAGTTTGGAGTTGTTTGAATAGTTTATTGTTGCAAATTAGTGAATTTTGGACAAATATTCCCAGTATACATCAAACAGGGAGCTCTCACAGTTTCCCAGTATCCCTTGTTTCTTGTTTTCCAGTTTGAACAAAATTTAGTAATGTAAAACACTAAACAAACAGGGAATGAAAAAGTAATACTCGGATTTACTTTCATATTGAAGCTAATGATTGACAGATTGAATTATACCTCGTCCTCTTGCGCTTGATCATTAACCCTAAGCTGCTCTTCAGACAACTCAGCCTCTTCAACGCCCAATCGCAACTCTTCCAGTCTTCTCCCTACATCATCAAACCCCTCAACTCCCACCCCAACGCCGCCATTCCCTTCCTTTTCCCTTCCTTTTCCTTCGTTCCCGACGTCCCTTCCCCGCAATCACTCGGAACTCCAACTTCAATCCCACCTCCACCCTCAACTCCAGGAGGATCTTCTTCGCCTCCGCATTTAGTCAAACACGCCGCCGCCGCCGGAACTTTCTGCTCAAACTGGTGTTTGATCCCCCGGCTACGCCGGTTCCTGGAATTCCGGCGATTCTTCTGGCTAGGTTGATCCTTTGGCACAACTTCCGGATGGTTTAGCTGAGAAGTAGCCCGAGAAGATGATCCAGAGCTCTCTGGTTCAGAGCTTAACGGATTCCGAATTGGATCATCTACGGGTTTAACATTAACAACAATCCGACTGCCATCGTCTTTCTTCTGATCAGTATTCTCTCTTCTTCTGTTCGACATGGCTGAGACCGTTAGGCTATTCGAGCTGGTAAGTCAGTTATAATACTCCATAATAACTAAGAACACAATGAATCAATGCTCAATGCATAAAATTAAAGCAAATTCATAAAGAATATGTTCGAACACAATGAATCAATGCTCAATGCCTAATATTAAAGCAGATAAATAAAGAATAAGTTCAAAAGATGAAAAGGTTAGGATCAGGAAACCATGGCTCTTGATGATGAGTACTTCTTACATCTTAGTTAAGTGTGCACAATAGAACATACACTCCTAAATGTGCATGACAATAATAATAGTTTAAAAAGATAATGAGAATTATAATGATATGAGTATTTAAAAAAAGTAACAGACAAACATACATAAATGAAGGGTATATCTTTCCTTCACAATTATTAGTTTTTATTATATATATATTATTAATGAAAAGAGTTTCGACGATATATGGAGTTTGGGTTTCTATAAAGAGATAGGAGATTGTAACGTGGATATGGGCGAAGTGTGGGTGATTCTTTATGGTTTTAGGATTTCTTGGGACAACGACTATCGTAAGGCCTTCATTCAAAGCGATTCCAACAACTTAATGCACTAAATTAATGACCTCAACTCAATGTCGGTGGGTGGCAAGCCTTTGATAAACATCATCCGTGAGTGCAAGACCTAGTAGAAGAAAGACTGAAGTGTGGTTTGCTGTCACGTCTTTTGCAAACAAAATCAAGTGGTTGATTGGCTTGTTAGGAATCATGGCTGGTTTTGACCTGTCATAATGCCCAACATCACAGGGTTTCAATTTTAGAGGATCCAATATATATTTTTGACCTATTTGTTTAAGAAATTTTTTTAAAAAATACAATTAAGTCGATATTTCTTAACGCCTCTTTATATCTTATATAAAATTCATCAATTTTTTCCTCCAAATCACGCACCACCATTGAATAGGACAAGATTCTTCATTCCTCCATTAATTTTATAACTTCCCTAAAATTTTTTTGATCACTAAAGTTGTAATTCAATTTTCACTTTCCTTTTCTAATTAATTGAGCATGATTATGACAAAATCGCTTCAACTCTTCCTTCCCCCAACCCTTTTTTTTTTTTGGTAAAGTTGAGCTCTAAATGCAATTATGTAACTTATTTGAGGCGGAATTGAATGTAGGAGAAAAATTAGAGGTCCAGGTGAAAATATAAATTCCGGGTCACGCGGGTTAGGGTTTATGTTCAGTTGCAGTCACATTCAAATCCCCTATTCCTTTCTGCCCGCTTGCCAAAAGGCAAGATTTTTACTCTGTCCAATTCCGAATCAAAAATCCGTAATGGCCAAGAAATCGAAGAAACCACACGACAAAGAAAGCGGAAAAGTTGCCCCAAATTCTGATTCATCCAGCATTTTCCAGCACCTGTTTGGAGAATTCTCGGAGAATGCCGCCACCGCATCGATCTTCTCCGACGAAAATCCGTTTCGAAGGAAACCTATTAGCAGTTCTCATACTGCCCAGCAACCTGAGCTAGAGTCAGCGGTTGTTGCTTCTGATATTAACGATTCCGAGCCGAAGAAGAGGAAGAAGGAGAAAAAGAAGGCGGAGGAGAATGGTGGATCGCGATTCGATAACGAAGGAGAAGAGAAAGATGAAGATGGAGTAAGAAAGAAATTAAAGAGCGTTGAAACTGGGAAGCCTGATTCGGAGGTTACAGTGAACGGGAAAGAAAGCGGGAGTGAGAAGAAGAATAAGAAGAAGAGAAAGAGGGACGATGTTGAAGCGGAGTACGAGGCTAAGCTATATGGATTGGAGAAGGCAGAGAAGGTTGGGGAGAAGAGGAAGAAAATGGATAACCCTGAGGATTTGATGGTGTCGAAGGAAGGATTTGACGATGAAAGCAAGCTCTTGAGGACCGTCTTTGTCGGGAATCTGCCGCTGAAGACCAAGAAGAAGACATTATTCAAGGAATTCTCCAAGTTCGGAGAGATTGAGAGCATTAGAATCCGGTCTGTTCCACTAACAGATGTAAGCTCCATAAAGTTGCCTTCTTTTTCTTTTATTTCTGTAATTATATTCATGGAGATTGTTTTAACAATTCCTTTTCCTGTTCAGAGCAAAGTGCCAAGGAAGGGTGCTGTACTGAAGAAACAACTGAATGAGAATGCTGACGGGTATGATGATGGACAGTAATCCTTGTACTGTCATATGATTTTCCATGTTAATTATTACTCCTATTGAAAGTAAAGAACTTGTTTGTAGACAACATGGTCTCCCCTCCACACTGCAGTTAATGTGTAAAATTTGTTGTGTGGTCGAATTGGTGTTCAGTGTTTGCTAATCTGTTTTGGGTGTTGAGGGAAACCCGCATCCACTATTCAAAAGTGTGCACGGGTAAACTCCGCCTTGTGACCTTAGGCTGGCAAAGGACCATGAGGCTTAGGTTGCCCATAATTGAATGGCTCGAACCAAGTAGGTCAATGGACCACTCCCACCGGGAGTTGAACTTGGAACGTTGTGGTTATCAAGCCAACAGTTCGACCAACTTGACGGGGTCAAACTTGGAACCAAGGTTGAAAAAATCGCTAGGGACCGCCTAGGGTGCCTAGGCGGGCGCCTAGAGCGCCTAGGCGGGCACCTAGGCGCCGATTAATCGGAAATCGGCGCCTAGGCCCGATTTTTGCAACACTGCTTGGAACCTTGTGGTAATCAAGCCAACAGTCCGACCAACTTGGCTGGAGTTGCCCCGTGTTTGCTAATCTGTTTTATTTGGATGAATTTTGTTAATGCTTTAAGATCAGTTTCCTTAAGTCATATTTCTTGACTATATTTTCTCTAATTGTCGTTGTCTAAATTGCAGTGTACATGCATACATTGTTTTCAAAACGGAGGAATCTGCCCATGATTCGTTGGCTCTTAACATGACAGTGGTGAGCTGGTTTTCCCTATCGTTTGCTGATATGAGTATTCTTGAGCTGCTTATTTTATTTCTAATTACCGAGTTAGTTGACATTTCTGTCAGTGTAGGTAGGAGGAAATCATATCCGAGTTGACAGGGCATGCCCTCCTCGTAAGAAGATGAAGGGTGACTGTGGTCCCTTGTATGATAATAAAAGGACGTTGTTTGTGGGCAACCTGCCATTTGATGTTAAGGTCAGTTTTCTTGCGTATATATATACTTATTATAATTGACAAGAATTGATGTCAATTAGAAGTTGTTTGTGGGCAGCCTGTTGTTTTAGTCAACTATAATGATCCAGCTATTTTGTTAACATGTTTAAAGGACGAAGAGATTTATCAGTTGTTCTGTGGAATTAAAAATCTGGAAGAAAGTGTGGAAGCTGTTCGGGTTATCAGAGATTCTAATACACTCCTGGGAAAAGGTGTTGCTTATGTGTTATTCAAAACAAAGGTATGTTTATCATCACCATAGGCTTTTGAGGGTTATTATTATAAGACATGACTTACTGTTCTTTATGATGTGAACTGTTCTGAGTTCTGACACTTGCATTCGTAACATTCTTACATTTGAATTCAAAAACATTGATTATTTTCGTAACTATCGTTCTAACCTTTTTGATCTTTTATTGCAATGAGTCTATGACTGTTGGGCATATAATCATTAATGTGCAATCCAACTATCAGCTTAGGCTTTTAGTTGAGATGGAGCACATGCCTCAATTATGACTACATTTTAGAAATGAATCTTGTTGTCAGAGAGACTAAAGCCTAGTTTTTATGCTGTTTTCTAACTTTCCCAATCGATAAGAGATGGAGATGCATCGTATTGAGGCATGTGAATCGTTTTCTCGTCCAAACATTAGGGAATGATTGTTTTCACTATTTTTCACCTAAAATACATTTATTTGGTGACATTATTAATCGCATGAAACATGTGCTTACAGGAAGCTGTCAATCTTGTTGTGAAGAAGCGTCTGAACTTACGAGATCGGGAGCTAAGGCTTTCTCATGCCAAGGCAACCGCGACCCCATCAAAGAGAAAGAACTCAAACGAGAACACGAACGCCTCTCCAACAAAGAAGTTTGCTGCGGAGCCCACAACTCCAGGCAGCGGGGGCAAGAGAACCGAAAAGATGTCCCTCGCCTACCAGGGCATGCGGGCAACGAAGTCATCATCGTCTGTTCAAAAGAAGTCGTCCCGTCCCAGAACCAGCGAGCAGCCAAACTCTAAGGCAAGATTGCAGGTGGCGAAGAAGCAGACTGAGCGGAATTCAAAGCGACCAGCAGTCGCTGCCAGAAAGGCGAAGGCGCTGAAAAACGCTGCCGCTCCTTCCAAACAAGCCGGGACCAAGCGCAAGCTGGAAAACCGAACTCCTTCAAGTGCTGCTGGTAGGAAAAAGAAACTTAGAAAGTTTTAATAGGCATTTCATTGTATCACCACTATACTGGGGAATGTGGAAGTCTCCGGTGATTATACAATGATCTCTGTTACTCTGTATCATGCTGATAATTTGTTAAAACCAGTTGTTTTTATTTCAATTCTTTGTTAAAACATCCCCTTTTTATAGTGCTCAATATATATTGAAGTTGTTCTATGTTTTTTGTTTTTGTTTTTTCTTGTAAAGTTAATAATTTGGCTTGAGTATCGTACCATCATCATAAAAAGTTGGATAAGAAACCACATTGTATTCAAGCATGCCGCACGTTTATGTTTGTTAGGAACAACTACCAACACTGTCCCACAGTCCCACTATGGATTAATCATCACATTACTAGATATTGTACAACAAATCAACAATATCGTGCAATGCATGAAATGCAAACTGCCGACAAAAAAATATTATTATTATTTTTATACTTTGGTGATTTTAGTTTTTTCAGATTAATCCTAAACCCATAATCAACATACCAGTCAGACCTTAATTTTACATGCGCAGAAGAGATTCAGTTCACACCTTCCATATCTAAGCCTTTTTCCCATTCATATTTCAAGTGGGATTCAAAGTTTAAACTACCACACTGCCACCTTCAATCGTGACATTAAATAAGGCGACGAACCATTACGCTAAGCTCTCGGGACGAAAAAATATTAATTATTGAACAAGAAGTTGGTAGCTACATCTATAAAATAAGGAGTTTATATGATTTGAGTCTAGAACTCCTTTAATAATGTTTGTACAATAGTATGAGGTTGTTTAACATGAGGTTTGACGGTGTAAATTATGTATAAAAATAAGTTTAATTGTGTGCTTAATTACATGGAAAGAAATAAATTAAAAAGAGAAAAAAAAGGGGATACATTGATAAACAAAATGAGAGAATGAATAATGTCTAGATGTTATTAATAAGTGACAGTTACTCGATTGATCGAATCTATCAAATAAAACAATACTAAGTATAACAAAGCCAATTACTATGTAGTATTGTAGTGTGATGACACTTCTATTACTATTCCAAATGGGTGGTTATAGTCTTGAACTCGGTGGTGAGACACTTTTTTTTGAGTATACCCAGGGTTCCATCGTCGAACACAGTGACTAATTCCCTCGATGAATTGTAGGTACCTCTTTTGGGTGGCACAACTGACCTGGAGATTTAAGGTTGCTCCATACCCAAAGCCAAGAATCGGTGGTGAGACATGATTCTTTATGCTGAAAAAGATTGAAAAAGTATAGAACAAAAAACTGATATGTCATGATTCCATTGATTGGAGCAGGATGTCAATGCCAAATTCATACCTCACTTTTTGGTCATCTTTAGTAGGAATCGAACCCTATACACTTCAACTATTATTATCAATGTAAATTTATGAACCTATTTTACGTGATTGGCTAGTTGAGTTGTGATCGGGGCAATAGTGCTACTAGGCTTATTTAGTTATTGGGCATCAAACCCATTGTTAGGCCTAGTGTTCTATTAAGATATGCACATTATTATATATTAATAGTAGCATGCAGGAATATGATTTTGTCTATGGTATCTCTAATCTCTTTTCCCTTTTCTATAAAATATTTCATGAACACTATTTAATACGGAATAACTTTTTATGCCAATATATCCTCTTTATACGATTATTATCGTTATCATGTAGCATATTTGTAATATGATCATCAATCTAGTCTAGTATATAATTAGTAGCATAACCATTATAACAAATTAAATATATGTCAAGTTGTAATTTAGACTTAATTATATTTATGCACATGCATGTAAAGGTTGGGTTGGGATTCCTAAATTAATATTCTTTTTTTTTTTCTTTTTTTTTTGGTAAAAGGGGAAAATTCGCATCCACTACTCGAAGGTGTTTTGGCCCCACTTATATGTAATAGTCTGCAAACTACACAAGGAAGTAACCACACTAGAAAGACTATGTCTAATATGCTCGATCGAGAGAGTGTTGACAATAATAGAACTCGTGACTTTCAAATACGAGATAACTGAGAATCATGTTTCACCTACTCAATCATCCATTTTGAGGCCTCCATTAATATATTGGATGACCATCTAAGGGAACTCACTGTCACAACTCAAATATGTGCATTAGGTAAACCTCACTTTTGCGTAACAACCCGCAAACCACAATTGAAAAGTAAACAGTACTAGAAAGACCATGTGCATGGGGTGGGCTCGGGTAAAAATGTGTTGACAAGAATCAAAATAATAACATTTGAATACAAAAATCATGTTTTACCTACTCGACCAGTCCATCTGAGGCTCCACTAATATTCTTAAGTGAGCAAGCAGATGCTTTATGCCTTGACCAAAAAAAAAAAAAAATGCTTTACGCTAATCGATTCCGGAACGTGAACAAATTGAAGAACTTAGCATGGAATATAAATGTTAGGCAAAATCCTTTAATTTTATCATAGGCTCTGTTTGGCAAACCTAGCTGAAAAGCTATAAGCTTGGAGCTGAGAGCTGAAAAGGAGCTGAAAGCTAAAAAGCTATAAGCTCGGAGCTGAAAACTAAAGAGCTGTTAAGCTAGCTGTTATAATTAAAAGTGTTTGATAAAATTAGTTTTTTGATAAGCTGATATATATAAAAAGACTAAAAAGGACATCTTCATAAAGTTTAAAATAGTTTGTTTATATATTAAAATTTAACATTTTGTCTTTAAAAAAAATTAACATTTTGAAATAAAACTATTAGTATAATCATAATCTAGCATCTCATAATGAAGTAGCAATATTGTTGCAAATCTCATAATAATAATAATAATAATAATAATAATAATAATAATAATAATAATAATATTTGCGGTGAAAGTTGTGGATAAAGGAGAAGAGAAAAAAGTTTTAATTGGGAAGGATAAATTATGTAATTTCTTTAAAATAATAAGGATAAAGATGGAAAAAAAAAAGTTAGGAAGCTAGGAGCTTATTTTGAAATGCTACCTTAGGTAGCGTTCCAGAATAAGCTCTTATTTTAAGCTAGGAGCTTATTTTGAAAACATTACCAAACAGGGCTTATAGCTTATTAGTAGCTTAAAATAAGCTATAAGCTCCTAAATAAGCTCTGCCAAACAGAGTCATAATCATCATAAAAATAGAAAATGGGAATTTTGTTTGTTTTTTGACTGAAAATAACAGAAAATATTCACAGTATACATACAAGGCAAAAACTTGCCTCAGACCGTCTCACAGATCTTTGTAGGTGAGATGGGTATTAAGATAAATATAATACTTATACTAGAAAATGTAATACTAATAAGGAATAAAATGTTTATTACTTATATGATAAAATGTAATATTTTGAAGATAAATGTAATACTTTTACATTTTGATTTAAAAGTATTACATTTTTCTGATAAGTAACAAACACTTGCCAACCAGGACTATGTGGTCTAATGGTACCCGGGTTGGACTTCCATTTGGAAGATTATGAGTTCAAGCCTCAGTGGAGGCGTTATTGGTTCTTTGTGTTTCAGTAGATTGAGAAAGTATATGAACAGATACTACAATGTAATAGAGCCAGTAGCTTTCAAAAAAAAAAAAAAAACAAACACTTGCCAACATTACTTATAAGAGAAAATATAATACTTTTAAGGGAAAATGGCACCTTTTCCCCCAGAATTATATACTTATAGCACTTTTTCCCCCTGAGTTATTTATGTAAGTACATTAGCCCCCTCAATTATTCTAAAAGTGGCGATTTTTCCCCCTGATATATTAAATTGACACTTCTACCCTTAAAGTAAACATTTTATTTATTTTTCTTCTCCAACAAATTATTGTTTATACGTAGGGATGAGCACGGTTCGGTTCGAATTGAACCGGACACTATAGCAATCGAATTGAAAGTTTCCGATTATGATTCAGATCCAGAACCCAATATTTAGATTTCAGTTTATTAAAATTATGAATAAAAAAATTGGTTTCTGAACCGTGAACCAGCGGTTCCGGATCCGGATCGGGATTTTGAATCTTCTTTATTTTAACATTTTATTTTTATTTTTAAAATAGTCCAAAATTAACAATAAATGTATTTTATTTTTTTCAGTTCGGAACATGAATCGGCCGTTTCGGTTCGCGATTTTAATAAACTCTAAATATCAAGTTTCGATTCTAAATTGTAATTGAAATATTTCAGTTTAGTTGCTATAGTGTCTGTTCGGTTTGAACCGAATCGTGGTCATAATTTGTTGGAGAAGAAAAATAAATAAAATATTTATTTTAAGGGTAAATATGTCCATTTAACATTTCAGGGGGAAAAATAGCCACTTGAATAATTGAGGGGGAAAAATGCTATAAGTATATAACACAGGGGGGAAAAAGTGCCATTTTCCCTACTTTTAATGAAAAATGTAATACTTTTACATCAAAATGTAAAAGTATTACATTTGTCTTCAAATGCAGCGCTTCTTCCGGAAGGAGCATTTCCGGTAATAGTTGACTGGAAAATTGGACGGTAAGACCAAATGTGATACAAATTACATAATCATACATCTAATTAAAAATTTTAAAAGTTAAGGATCAAATGTGATTCATATATAATAGTTCGGGCCGGGGACCAAAAATAAAATTTACTCAAAAAATTCTATATCGTATATGAAGTAATCTTTCATAGGAATCATAGCACAAATTCACATGAGAAAACTTACAAAGGTAAATATTTAATTATGGGGTGAATCCTCATGTGTTACGTTGAATTTTTTTTTTTTTTTTTTTTTTTATAATACAGGAAAAAATAAATAAATAAAAACTGAATCATATGATATCTTTAAGGAAAATCATATTAAAACTTATGGGATATAAGAAGATGTACAAAATTCTCAAGTTATTAATTTTACCAATAATTTACAAATATGATAGTGATGAATTGAATTTAACTCTTTATCTCTCAGATTCTTATCATTGTACCCACCTCGGAACCTTCTTTTAGTTTCAATTTTTCAAACTATAGCATCATAAGAAAAAAAAAATAGTGGATGTAAAGATTGTAGAACAAGAAAATAAGATATCTTTCAAGAATGTAGAATGATGATATAAAATGGCAATATGTATAGTAGCTAGTTCCAAAAGTAAGCATATAGGTCAGACCAAATGGAATTAACTTTATATATAGGACCTTTATGACTTTATGTATAAAATTGACA